TGAATGTTTGGGGAATCTAGCAAGTATCGCTTTCATATACATCTTTTGGATTCATTCTATCTGTTATAGTCGAAGATCAATGGGGATTTGCGAGAAATCGAGAGGTTGATGTTATTAGAAACAAAATTAAATTTGGATTACGGGTAAGCACTTAAATAACAGTAATATAATTTAATTATATTTAGTTTACATGCATATAAAAAATGATTTACTCTATTTTCTTAGGGGCAGGGATAATGTACAATGAGTGTGCGTGAAGCCGACAGCAGTTCACGATGCGATGTCGACTTTGAAATAAGCTAGTAGCAATCTAGTTCTTCGTCGAAGGGATGTTGACTACCGAACGTTTTGGGATCACAGACGGTTCCTTTGATGGCCTCGTTGATGTTGGCAGACATGATCCGGAAGTTGATCTCTGATGGATCCAGTTTCTTGTAGAGATAGAAAGGCAACTTGTTGGTGATCACCCAGACATTCTGTTTTCTCTCCTGATCGATCTTCATGTCGTTGGGAAAGATCAGCGTGTCGTTGTCGTTGGCGAGGACTCCCAGATTTTGGCGCAGGTAAGGTTTTCGACTATCCCAACAACCGATCGAATTCCTCGTCACCTGATTATAGATCAAGATACCGTTTCTGTCCATCGCCGAGGCGGACGCGTGTCCCGACTTCCCCCTGCTCTGTCCCAGCACCTTGAAGGCGTCCTTCACGTCGTTCCAGCCCGTCTCGTTCTGCACGACGGACGTCCGCACATAGAATTCCCTGAAGCTGGACATCGGATTGAAGTAGAGGATGCGATCGCCGTTCAGCACCGGACTGAGAGCCATCCCGAAGATGCCGTCCGTCCATTCGAATTCCAAATCGTCCAACTTGTAGGCAGCGGCCAACGGGTCCGGATAGAAGAGGTGATCGGTGATCCTCCAGCTGCGCATCTCTCGCAGACTGAACGTGACCAGACCGAAACGCCAGACGTCCGTCACGTACGCGTAGGCGTCCTCGCATCGTCCCTTCCGCACATCCACCTTGATGTTAGAGTAGAGCGAGTCCTGCTTGATGAATTCCTCAGGTAGATCGTACCTGAGCAGCAACTTATCCGTCTCCAGGTCGAAGATGTGGATCTGCGGCGGGCAGACCTGCTTCGGCTTGATGGTCACCTCGATCTGACCCGAGTCTATCACCCAGAGACGTCCGCACTCGTCGGCCTCCATCCGGTACACAGAGGTAAGACCATCGCAGTCGTCTGATATAAAACAAAAACAAAAACAATACGTGTCAGTCAGTTACTGTTGCCTACAATCTTTATGTTCTAGTTTACTTGTATTATGGAAATCCCAGTTCGGATATGGCTCAATCCTGGCTTCGGTGTCCAACGGATATTTGGGCAGAACTCCCAGCGTGATGGGCACCCCGTCTTTCCACTTGGGCATGCTCACGAAAAGCCTGTCACCGTACACCTCGATACCCAGTGGCAGATTGTTTTCCGGTATGAAGTTGCCGTTTTCTATGGCCGCCTCCCGCTGCTCCTCGCTTTGGAACGCGAAGTCCAGCTGCTTCCACGCGTACCAAGTGGTGAACGGTCCCGTCCTCTCCAGTTCTCGATTCTCCCGAAACTTTCCCAGACGAGGAGCATTCGAAGCCGGATGCAGCCCGGCCAGCAATCCGAATGATAACAGGTATGGTAAAATAGAAGGTGGCTTTGCTAAGAAACAAAACAATTGTTTTACATAAGTATATCTTAATTTAGTTAATTGCATATGCAACACACGTACATAAATGAAATACATTCACATTACCGTAATCCTTTTGATGATACGCAACGAGTAATAAGCAATAAAATAATCGTAAATTTATGTAATTTATGAAAATTGCGTAATGAAATGCGAGATACACGGAAACTGCAATACGATTATTGCATCATGACTACACACATCTCTGAATCAATCGTAAAACGATGATAGAAATCTTCATACTCGGAACACTTACTTTCATCAATATTATTAATATTTATTATATATTTGCAGATGAGAAATTTGGCAGCGAATATATGCAACACACATCGCGCGTGAGATAATTGACGGATGACAATAAACAAAAGCGCAATTCAAATTGATTGTCAGTCAGTCGAGATGAAAACAACAACAACAATGCGGTGCATCGTTTCATCACAGAAACAACACGTATATTTGCTGATTACTGGTGAGTTTTCATTTGTGTATCAAAGTGTAACGGTTAATTTATTGAATTCGCGGAATCTGGCGAAATTGTGCAACGAGAAAGGTGGTGGAAAGAAGAAAAATTTTGCTGTTTGACATCTCGATGGATACAAGGATAGCACGATTTTGCATACACCTTGAAGCGTATTGTATCTTTATAAATATTATATAAATGAAAGTGATTAACGACGATTAATTATAACATCTTTGCTATAAACGAATGGAATGTGTTTACAGATGTTAAGAATTCAGTTTGAAAAGCATATTAAGAGTTGATTTGCCATTTAAGTTTCATTTTGTAAGGACGAAGAAATACGCGACTATTTGCCATATACGCTGTACGGACAAGTTTAATGTGTCTCAATTATTTCTGTTGAAGTTTCGTCATCATTGTAAGCAATCTGATGACGATTATATGTTCAGAATTATTAAAAAATGTAATACCTGTTTTCTGGTTGCCTTTTTGCAGGTGCTGTTGTTCCTCCCATGGAAGCGGTCTCCACTCGGTGGATTCGGGCTCGTTGAAGCTGTGGTCTATCTTGTAGTAGGTGTCGGGAAGCACCGGATTCGGTGGATTCCAGCTGTGGAACCAGGAGCTGCTGCGACTCACGGCCATCGTTGATGCTCACGCAAAACAATCGATGGAGTGCAGTAACGAAACACACGCTGCAACAAATGCAAGTATTTTATTTAGATATATAGTTTATTTTTCAATCTTTTAATCTCTTAATTCAAACCAATTGAATCATCTTGTTCTCTTTATCCAATTGGATCGATCCGAGATTTTCGCGTGGCATTGAAAATTTACTTTCAGAAAAAAACCTGTTCGTCATTTTTTCGTTCGATTTTCAATCGATTTTATTTCCGTTTAGGAATATTTAAAGCAAGTGGAATTAGAAGGCATTGAATTTATTTAAATCGTCACAAAGGCCAAACCGCCTTTTGGAAATTCGATCTCACGTTGATTTCTCTTTATTTAAGTACGTTGTATGTTATTTAGTATGTTGTTTTTATTAGTTAGATTAATTAATCTTGCCATACGAAAATTCTCGCTTGTTATAATTTTGTATCCGTGTATAAGGAAAGTGCTCAGTTTTGTAATTATCGTGCAAAAATGTTGCTTAATATTAATTATTAAGTGTAATTAATTATTTATTAATTGGATAAGCTCATGTATTCTCTCACCTGAAGACTGAATATTCTTCTACGGGATATCTCTGGAGACTGGTTGTTCTCGTTGTTAGTTATTTATTTATACGCCCACGACGTTATTTATACCGGATTCTTTCACTCTATTTCAATCCAGAGCAACTGCAGAGAGCCAAGGGCACATAGATCATGCAAAGGTTTCTTCTCTTTTTTTTCTGTCTCTCTTCTCTTCTTCTTTGATTCGTTTTGTTTAACACTGTTAGAGAAAAAGCAGAATGAAAATCACTGCACCACGTCCGGATCGCTTTTGACTCTTGGAACGGCTTTCGTTTTTCATTTATACACACGCACGCGGGTGCGAAAACGCAGATTTGCGCGCGCGTTTCATTTGAATTTCGGATGGTCTTTTGCGGGGCGCGGTTCGCTCTTGAACTTTCCGTCCGTCTCGTCAAAACGAATTGGAGCACTTTGTGACATTTTAGATGTTGTCCACATAGAAAAAAAAATTTTGGTGTATAGTTTATTAGTCGTCTATTTGCGGTGGTAATCTAGATTTTCGTGGATGTCGAAATCGTTCGGGCGGTATATCACGATCTTCTTTGGAAACAACGCGAGCATTGCAGATTGCGTAATGCAATAATAGATAGTAGCGCGCACAAAATGTTCGAAAGAGCGAAAGAGCGGATCCGTCAAACTGTGCAAAGATTTACGACTTGCCTGAGCCTTAAAACAAATTGATCGCAAGTAATCGAAATTAGTTACTTAACTTAAGTGCGCACGTTTCTTGGTTTCACAACCTGTATTCTCAAAGCAAAAAAAAATAGAGTAGTTTCAGTTTTAAATGCAATTACTGCACATGCTTTTTATGGTTGTGTATTAAATTATTTCATGTTTTTGCTGGTTAATTGAAAGTGAATATTTCTTTTTTCACCATATACGCAATTTATTAAGTTATATTAGACTTAAGTATCATTTTCAGTATTGCTTCAGTTATATGAGAAAATCTTTATTTAAGTTTTGCACAATGGTGTGCGTGTTTATTAGACTGTTCATTTGTTTGTTTTTTCTTCTTCTTTGCCCTCTCGTAAAAGTTAGTCGAGCGAGTAAAAGCGCTTTTTGAATGCCGACCGGGTAAAAAGAGAGACGTCTTTTTGGTTTCTCGCGTTACGCAACGAGTTATTATTGTTATTACGAGTTGTACGTTTTCTGCTGATAATCAATTCGCGATGAACGAACGCAGATAATTACGGACAGGATATTGAATCATCGTTCATCCACATTCGCGATTCCTAAAATCGATTGTTACGTTTCAACATACATAAATTATCGGCAATGTCGTGAATAATTACATTTCAGTTTGTTACTTAAGTCCATGGTTACTATTAGAGCTTTTTCTTTTGTTTTTTGTCGCGAGAAGGAAACTGATTCGAGCGGGAAATTAAAAAGTGCACGTTCGTTCGGTAAACGTTTGCATTCTTTGTTTTTTTTTTTGTAATCTCTCAGTCTGAACACTTTACGCACAGGAGGCAATTAGCATAGATCGTAGTTACAGTTGCGATTGTAAATTGCGGAGCAAAAAATTATTTGTCGTACGGAATTGGTGGTGGGAAAAAAATTGAATGTTAATAATTGCACTTAGATAATTACAGACGCGGACTGTTTGTTGTTGCAGTAAAAGCGTTTGGAAAGTGAAACGTTTCGTTTTATTGATTATTTCGATGTTTCTGCTCCACACAAATCATATTCGGAATAATTGAAACTTGGTTGCTAGGTTACATCGCTTAGGTAACAGAAAACATAAACAAATTTCGTCGACTTTGATAACAGCAGTTTTTTAGAATCGCGTGGCATTGAAATCTCGGACCAAGGATTTCTCGACGACGAAGACAATTTTCACTTCGTTTCTAAATGCAAATTGCGTGCAATCAAGGCCGGAACCAATGGATTTCGGGATTCATTCCTTCCGTTAGTTTATAACTGGAGCTGCGCGACAAGTACGTGTCCGCGAACGAAGGATTGCATTTCACTTGAATTGAAAAGTACTGTTGTATAATTGCGTGAATTGAAGCGAGTTGTGCGTGCAATGAAAACGCATAAGATTTTTCGCTCGACGATCGGTATGAATTACAAAAACGGAACGTAATAATAAATAATAATAATGATGAAGGGGAAATATGCTTTCGGTTACATGGAATTAATCAGACGCAATCGTAGAGGAGTCGCAGAACTTTAAATTAATTCCGGTCTCATCCTACTTTCGATTTAGAACATATTCGCAAGAGTTTTCCCAACTAACTTCCTGCATCTCTAATCCGTGCTTCAAATGTTGTGTTTTATGGTAGACAATGCATTTCATCCCTCTTTCGATAGAATTAATCTATTCATTATTAGTAATTGATTGTTAATTTTCTATTTGCTTCATCTATTGTATTGCGCTGAAGCTTGCGCTATTCTCTCAATCAATTAAACACAAACATCAAGATCAGTTTATGATCAATATTCGCATCTCACGCTCCGATTTCGGCATTCGAATTGTAATTTGTATATTTAGCTTTTTGTTCAAACTGCGATCATTGCAAGCTCGACTTGGAATTAATTGCTCGAATCTTGGGAAGTTTTCTCAACCAATTCGACTTTCGATGATCCAAGTAGTATTCGATTATAAGTTTTGTAAATGTAAGCTTTTAAATTATGAGATTTGGACGTTATTTAAATTTTCGCTACGGTTTGCTTCCTATTTTTAATTAATTATCTGTAGAATTGCTGCATTTAAAAAGTATTTTGTTTTGAAATTGTTGGTTTATTAGATTTCCAAAGTCGGTGATCCGGTAGTTCCTTTTTTTGTTAATTTATAAATTTCCAAAACGACTGTATTCAAATTTCGTCGATTATTTCGCACCGCGATGCGCCGCGCTCTTCCAGTTTCTTTACGCAACAAAAATCTACATGGATTTAAGTAGATTTGTTGCGTAAAGAGCGATCAGAATCAAACGCCCGGTTTCTAAATACGTTTTATGATTTTACTCTATTCGCTTTATTTTCCCTCTCGCGATATGCAAAAATGCACGAAATCCTACCTTTCTGGTTGCAAAAGTGGTTATTGCGCTCTGCTCTCTCGTTTTCGCGCTGCCAACGCGCGGACATTTACTTCCATTTGAAAATCAAATCAGAACAAGAACTCTGAGTAAGTTCATGTTTGCAATCGCAGAGTCAAATCGGTGCGAAAGAATTGGAATTGATTTCCAATGCAAAACGCAGAATTAATAGATAGATGAGGAGAGAACCGAAATGCGTTTTCGCGTCGATTTTCTTATGTAGAAAGTGAGAAACCAAAGGAGCATTAAACGAACGGAGAATAAAACGGAGATTGGCTATATTCGGACCCCTTTCTTGCTTATGATTGATACGTCTGGTGCTAATCGATTCGAAATCGCGCCCATATGCGGGGAAATAAAAGCGTTATTCAATCAGCATTCTCTTGATTATCAAGGAAATTATAGTTTAACTTATACGTACGACGACGGACAAACGAATAGATTCTAATCGAGTCGCGGAAGGAAACTCTAATAGTAAATTATATAATTTGCAGCGTAGAAAACAAAGATACAGTTTATGCAAATTAGTAGACAAAAGAATTTGTTAATTTTACGTTACGGTCAATTAACTAAAGATACATTTCGGAAGAGAATAGAATGAGATGAAAGTAAAAGAAAATTAGTTAAGTTACCTGATGTGTGTGTGTATTGTTGATATTGTTGTTGGCAGTTTTATGGGTTCGCGGTTTGGCGGGTTCGCATCGCCAAAGAAAGAAGTTGCTGTGATTAAAGTAGGCGAAAAAAAAACAATTGGTAGACCGACAAAACAAAGCAGCAGCGACAGCAGTTTAACTGGATGAACGACACAACAATCTTGCACTTGTTCTGAGCCTCGAAACAGTTCGGACTGTTTCGCGGTTCACTTGATCCCAACGAGACCCGACGCGCTTTTGTTCTTCGAGTGTGAGGTACTGCGGCCGCGAGAAAGTACCCGTTTTTCCTTCGTCTTCTCCACCCAAAGATTCCCTCCACAACCTATGAACTTGCTCTCCTACTCTTACGCAATTTCTATACCTTTGATAATAGAGCAGTGTTTCCCAAAAAAAAATATAGAATAGATCATATATTCCCTTCTTGCATCGTTTGCTACATACTAATTACAATAATCGCATGCGCTTGTTGTGTAATTAGATAATTGTGCGTGCATTAAAGTAGGAAAATTTGCATAACGTATAACTAAATGAGGAGAAAATAATATCATCAGAGTTTCAACAATTTCTCTCATTAGCTGAAATAATTACTGTTACAAAAATGTTGGTATTAATATAATGAATTGTTTTCTATATTTTCAAAATTAATGATTGGACGAACAGGAAATTGAAGCTAGATTTTTCATTTGCATTTTTATTTAACACTAAATACTTTCATTTAATTACTGTTTTATATACAATCCCTGAATTATATAAGTTTATAAAATAGTAATACAATAATAATAATAATAACACACGTAATAATAAATTTATTTTTTTGTTTTCTACACAACTTTTTGCACTATTTCGCACGGCGAAATGAAGAAAACGATTCTGCTTTTTCGTCTTCTTCTATTCGTCGACGAATCACAATTATACTTTTTCGGCTAAGCGCTAATAATACGAATGGCATGTTTCTTTGCAACAATACTTACAGTGTACTTAATTATTACGGTATGTTTGTGTATAATTATAGATATTTTTCTTATTCCAGTTTCGTTAAAGTTAGTTGGCTATGGCTTCGAAGCCCGATGGCATAATTATGGCATCCTCGTCGAGGGTGGAGCGCACTCCGAACGTCGGTCTGGAGCCGGTGTAGCCTCCGCCGTACGTGCTGGCGCCGCTCATCTTTGTCCTGCACTTGGTCTTGTCCAGAAGATCGGACACTTTGCCGGCGCTCACCCTGAAGTTGACGTCGTTTGGGTTCAAGGTGCCCGCGGCGAGCTTCTGGAATCTAGAGGTCAAAGTCCAAAGCTCCTGCTGTCCCCTCGAATTGGTTACCACCTGCAGAGTAAACGCAACGAAAGTATTAAGTATTTATTCTATGACTAATGTTCTTTTGTTTTTTTCAGATGGACATACCTTGACTCCGCTGGCGAACTGCAGACGAACCGTATCCTTGATGACGGTGTCGATGTACCTGCCGTACTCGACGTTGGCGGTGTTCCAGCAGTTGATGCTGGTTTCGGTCATCAGTCCGAAGAACATAATTCCGTCCTTGTCGATGGCCTCGGCCGCCGATTGCGATGGTCTGTTGGTGAGTAGCGTCTGCACGAACGGTTGGTTGCATATTAATAATTATAATCTTTAATCGAAAGGTGGATGCAGCTTACGTTGAAGATCTCCGGCGATGATTCCGGACTGTGCTTGAAGCGAGTTTCGTTACGCAGATGAGAGGTGTACACCCAATTCTCCGTCGGGCTGGACATCGCGTGGTAGAAGAGCTTCCTGTCTTTATCGGGATGGTAGCGTTCCAGATCCATGCCCAAAACGCCGTCCATCAAGTCGAAGCTGTCTCCTGAAATACGAAGAACGATTCAATATAGGGTACGTACAATCATAACTATAAGCGCGGCGCCAAGTTACAGTATCATATCCCGGCGCATCCACCATTTAATTTATTACCTTGAATCCTGTAAGTACCGAAATTGGGATAAGGATACATGGTTTTATCTGTGGCCTTCCACGCCTTTTCGTGCTTGACGTCATAAACTATGATTGAATAAGTTTGGCAATCCGCAACGTAGACGAATGTGTCGCGACACTGTTTATCGCGATTATCGATGATCGGCGTTACAAGGACTGAGCGCGACTCTAGCAAATTTTTGGGAATCGTGAAACGATGCAGCACTGCGTTCTGTACAATAAAAAGACAATAAGTTAATCAAATATATATATATGCGTATTCAAAATTTGCGCTCACGGTGTTCGTATCGAAGGCGATGATCTGCGGTTCGCAAGTTTGATGGTCTCCATAGCGACCAGTATCCAATACCCACATGCGTCCGCACTCGTCGATCTAAACAACAAAACATATCAATTATTAAGATACAAAAGCGATTCATTTTCCGATGACCAATTAAAGCGCATTTTTTTTTTTTGTTTAGTATAAATTTCTACTTTCAGTTAGTTTAGTATTAAACGGAGAGCAGCAATGTTTGCAAAGCGCACGTTCATTGTTGGCGCGAGCAATTAAACTAATTCTCATTAGTTTCCTTCGCATTACGTGTCGCAGCAGCAGCAGCAGCAAGTGGAGAAAGTCATATCGGTTTCATAGACATACGGCATATTAGCTGCACTTGTTTTGTTTTTCCACTTTTTTTTTAATTTTATTTTGCGTGCACGTTCATTATTGCCAATGCTCAAATGATTAGACATTTTCGTAATTAATAATAGAGTACACACGTGGCATTCGCGATGTGCTATGTTATCATTTGTTCTGTCAACACGCCGTACGTTTAAAATATTTGCTTGTCTATTTTATGCCCATATACTTGATATCAATAGACGCATTAGTGAATAATGTTATTTACACTTCACAAGTGTTCTTACATTCGATAATTTTGATTAAGTCTCACCTTGATTCTGTAAACTGAAATCAGACGATCCGGTAAACAGCTTTCGGGGTTGCGATGCCAACTCCACGATGGATACGGCACCACTTGGTTCTTGCTGTTAACCGAACCCAGAGTGACGGGACTGCCCACCTGGAATCTGGGTATCGTCACGAACACCTTGCTACCACTTCCTGCGAACCCAAAGTTACCAACGTTACGCAACGCAAATTTCATTCGTCTATTGTTTCCAATTTGTCACGTTACTCTTTTTTTATTTGTATTTGCGGATAGAGCGAGATAAACTTGATCTACATATCCTAAGTTTATATAATAATAATTGCGTGTTTTTTTTATTTCCTCTCTCTCGTATTCTAGTAGCAATCTCTTTCTCACCTGAATAAGAAACGTCGACGTCGATAGGAGCCGGAACATGCGGAACGTAAAATCCGCTCGCGATGTCTCTCTGCTTAGCCGCTTCGCTCTCGTATTCGAACTCCATCTGCTTCCATTCGAAAACTGGCGACAAAAGTCCGGGCCTGTTGTTGTTGTTGTTGTTGCTGGGCATTGCGAACGCAAAGTTCGAGCATATGCCAAGAACAAGGCACAGGTATTTCATCTTTTCTGAAAAACACAACAAGAAACAAACAAATCTTTATAATATTTCAAGTACTTTAAAAGTTTACACATCCCAAATACACACACTTAATAAATACAATCAACAGCCGCGACGCGCCTGGTACGAACAACAAAAGTTTGCAATTTGTTATGCGTGATCGTGTTGCTGTTTTTCGTTTCGCTTCGGGTGAAACAAAGGAATAAAATCGTTAAAAAGAAGAATAAACATGAACGCATCGTGTTTTCATCCGCATGGAATTTCGTGTTTTCGCCGCGTGTTTGCTCTGTTGTTGTTTTTCGCACGTTCCTTCCTCACGTTAATTTTGCCACCTATTTACAACGAGATTCTTCAACATCCAGACGATTCTAATTCGTTATTGTTGTTTGCTTCCACTTAGCATAATTTCGCGATATTTCCAAATGTTATTCCTGCAAAATGTTCGCGAGAAATATCGTTTGGTTATAATTTTGTTATTATTATTTCATTCATAACTAAAATTTGTACTGCTTTTTTCCTTCACTTTTTTCGATTATTACGCTTTGCGTAACTTTCTAAATTACCCAGATTATTTGTTAGTGAAATTACATATTAGTTTACTAGTAAAGTGAAATAATCCAATCTACAATTACTGAATCATTGTATATTTTTAAAATGTGTCTATTTTGTTTCAGTTGTCGTCAACGAAAGTTACCTTCCTGCACTAAGAATTCCGGTATATTCCACCGTGTAGACGATTGGTGGCTGAGCTGAGCTGGTTCATATTCGACGCCAGCGTCTGCGAGGTTCTGCAAATTGCCGTACTGCAATTGAAGTCGATCCGCCTGCTTCGCATCCCGCCAAGCCACCAGGTCTGAATAGTCTCTGGCGTAATTGCTCTCCTCGTGGAGTTGTTTGTACGATTGGTAGTTGAGGTAATCGGGTGCGTTGAATGTTTGCTCCAGGTATGCATGCGAGCTAGGTCCTTGACTGTAGGTGCCTATCCGCGTCCTGGTGGTGATGGCACTCGCGCAACACAGAACCACCACCAGCAAAAGAAGATGCACTGCCCCGTCGAACATCTTTGCAGCGGCTGCCAATTTCGCGCGTTAACTTCCCACCGCAGTATGTGATTCCACTATTGGCATGTCTCTCCGCAGGAGATATATATATATTGGGATTGGTAATGAAGAGGAGTGCGTGTGGTCCCGAGAACTGGACAATCCGAACTGAGTAAGTGCCTTTTCCCGGGCCCGATTATATTTCGTACGGTGCATGCGGCGCGTTTAATTCTTTCCTTCCTTCGTCTTTCGGTGTTCGGGTCGTTGTGAAACTGGCGCACTTCGAGCTTTTGGAATTGTAAAATAGCGGAATAATAAATAGCGACCGTTCGAACTCGCACCACCACCAATGGTGTGTCAGTCAATGCTCAAGACATTCATTATGCATGCGACTCTCCCGGTGTGTTTCTCTTTTGCTGCTGGAAGTGCCAAAATCGCCGACGAACCGTGAAGGAAAGACATTGGAGGCACGCGCCAATAACTATTCCATCCTTGCCCCGCGCATTCCAAATTCCTTCGCTCCTTCTTCTTTCCCGCAATCGCTGCGGTTCTAAGATTTCGAGACTTGTCTTTTTTTTTGGCTGCTGCTGCTGTCGTCTTTCTCTTTTCATCTTACCACTCTCTCTCATTTTTGATTCCCGTACGCAACGTTGAGGTATTTCAATTGCAATTCGGGTCGGAGAAATTGGAGCTAGTTAACTGGGGCAGCCAAACATCTCGATCAGCCTTCAGGGCTACACACTACTTCTATACCATCCCATCTATATCATTAACTATTTTTTGCAATCTTCAACAACCACTAATCTCCAATTAATTTGCTTCCTACATATTTGCGCTTAATTACATCCAATTTTTGGATGGACTCGTTTAAGATTTGCAAACAAAAAAAGAAGTTTCAAAGTCCTTGACTTTAAGCAAATATATATATATATCAGTTACAATGTTGCGCAGCATGATTACATCTTTCGCATAAAAATCACATTTCCTTACGAAAACTAGAATATTTGATGCTTTTATTCATTGTTGCAAAAAAAAAATCTGCTTTCAAACTCCTTGACAGTTTTACCTTGAGAATATAATCAAAATTCGAAATGATCTTCACATTTTCTGTAGATCTCTTATCAATTTAAATTTGGTTGATTTTCAAGAATGTATCCATGCAATTATAGTAAGTACATTAGTTTACTATATCAATTAATGTTATTGAACTTATAATAGTGAAGAATCATTACATTTTGTTACAAAAATCGCGCTGTGTACGATATTTGATATGTATTTAAAAGAAAAACGGATTTGTAAGTATAATTCAATTGCGACATTTCACTTTTTACTTTCGCAAATGCGTAAACTATAGTCAATTCACTATATATTTAGATTGCTTGTAATTAGAGTGAATTAATGACCATTGCACACTTGTTATCTATTGTTCTATTATTAACTAATTGTTTTAGTAGTATTTGACTTCAAACACTAGATCCGCGTATTCCATTTTGTCATATAAATCAAGATGCTGTTGATTTTTTGTTATACATATATATATATTTGCATTAATTGTCTAATTTCGTTGTTTCTTTTTTTTTCATGCAACTATATATGAAGGTAAACGCGAAAGTGAAATATTAATATTTATAAGATTACGCCGTCTTATTCAAATTTACAGGAAGCAGGAAACAATTGCAGTTAGCGACTTTTTAATTTCTACGAAAAAACAGATTCGTGCAGATGTTCGAATTCGAATTTCAAAATCGGAAAGGAAATATCTTCGCTCAAACACGTCTATTAGATTTTTTTTTTATTGAATTATGTGAGTTTTTATTTTAGAAAATCGAGCTCGCTTGTCATAACAATTGCGTAACGAGAACTCGAATTCTGACGTTCCCTTCGATTCAGGTTAGGTTATGTTTCGCAATCAAAGATTCTTCAAGTATGTTCATATTGTTTTTTTGGTGTTTGTTTTTTTTTGCATTAGTGAACTAATTACAAATTGCGCACGGATTAATTAGAAAAGCAAACGAGCGGGGTTTCATCAGATGCCGACAGATCTGCTGTATATGTGTGGACCAATTGGTGCGAACGACGAAAAAGGATCGAAGCCCCAGTTTCTTTTTCTTTTACATTTGTTTCACGTTCGAAAAGCTAATGCGATTTTAATCACTTCGGAATGCTTTTAATAGCGATGTTATTGTTGTTGTTGTTGTAGGGAACAATAATTTTGTAAATTGGCGTGTTTTTCAATAAGAATTTCCGTTATTCTTGCGCGGCGTTGCACTTGAAATTAACGTGACAAAAATTGACAACCTCAATTAGTTGTTATGACAACCTGTTATTTATGCAGATTGTTTTTTGTTTGTTTCTTAAATGAATGAATGAATGAGCGATTAGCGCAAAATAACAAAATTTGATCGTCATTTGGTCGAGTTGGTTATCGGCTACAAAACTTTACTAAATAACTCCTCGTTTCGTCAGTTCTGTTGTTGTTACGAGTTGTTGAGCGCTCGGCCGATAATTAAAAAATAGTTTCACTATTGCAATTTACTGTGCTCGGCGAAAGTCAGCCAACTTGTTTTATTATTCAATAATAATAATTTTGCATTGTACACGTTCAATTGCGCGCACCACCGTCGATTTTCAATGTGAATACGTGAACTTACACTTCTGTTCGAAGTGTTTGGTTTTAGTTTTTTTTTTTTCTTATTCTTCGGGGCCGAATTGCAACAGCATTCCAGTTTATTTACTGGGTGTAGGTTAAATTGCCAATCGTTTTTTTTTCTTTTCATAATCCAATTAAAACGTATGATTTCATATACTAAATAGTCTGCCTTTAATTAGGAGTAATAATAATAAATACATATTTTTTGTTGTTGTTGTGGTTCACATCTATTAGGAAATGTGGTCTGTTACATAAAAAAATAATAGTTGATAGTAGATGTTTGTTGGAGGTCGACGATGTTTCCTAATGGAATCGGAAGTATAGATTCGTGTTTCTTCGTCCCACTGAAATATACATGCTCGATACGAAACGGTAATTAATGAGCGCTTTCTAAAAAAAAAAAGGAAAATTTGATCATTTCAAAACTCTTTTTTGAAGTATTTAATTATTAAGAATGTCATTGTCACATTTTGATTGTAATGAGTTGAACTAATCAAGTTTAGTCAAAAAAAGACATTATTAATAACTTCTTTTTCTACTGAAATTATACATATATATTCAAATATTTTGCAATACGAACTTTCTTTTCGGCAATTGTTTTTCTTCGGTAACTCTGATATAATTTCACGGTCATGAATCTCCACTGACTCAGTGCATATATGTGGTTTCGATTTTCTTTATAAAATTTCCATTTCGGTAATTATTTTCATTTTTGTCCCCGTTTTTTTCTTCCTAATTTAAATTAGATGAAATGTTTCCATTTTTCATATTGTATACTTTGCAAATCTTATTTCCTTGATCTTATCTCAGATTTCTGTCAGTTTATTTAACTTTTATCAAAAGATCTGAAATATTTTAATATTGCGTGTATATATGAGAATGTTATTTTTTTTTTTTTCGTTGCACGTCGGATTGCGGATTTAACATTCAGAGACAACGTTATTTATTCATACAGTAATGACCTTTCAAGCGCCCATCGCAGCAGAGAAACAAAAGAAGATAATGGCTAATTAAGTAATAAGAAATATGAAATTAAACAATAATGCGCTCCGTTTAAGTGTAATTTGCACGTGCACAATTTCATTGGTCGTTTCAGTCTCCTCGCTCTTGGACATCACGATTTTTAATTTTCGCAAACGGAACTGTAAACAACAGCGCCGTTTATTCAATTGTTTCTCTGTTTGTTTATTAGTTACGAAACAATAGTAAAGCAAAACACAGTCGCGCCGCAACTAAGCGAAATCTGATTCTAAGCAAGAACAGCGTTTTTTTTTTTTTGAATCGAATGAACGAATGAATGAGTTACGCAATGATGTGTATTTACCGATGGCCATTGATGCGCTCCGGATAGTGGATAGAGCTTCTTTCCTTCTTCGCCGCTCGAATGTCAATGCCAAACAATAATTGTATATCGATGATGACTATTTGTACAAAGCACTAGAAAACCGGTCACGATTCTTCGCTCGTCTGAGTCTCTATGTCTGTTTTTTCAACGATTATCTTTGTATTTATATACGCACATAATTAAAGTCTAAGGGGGGAAGAAAAGCAAAAAAAAAATAGGAGCTTCGTTATCTGTAGTAGTCGTTATTTTCGCGAAAATCGAGCGTACATTACTTTTAATGGCTGTTCTTGTTAGTTTAACGGCTGCCCCGGGGCAATTACTGCTTCTGCATCCATTTAAAACGAAACGAAAATATCGTGGATGCACAATAACGTTTCTCAATTAACACCGCATTACGGGTCGTTTTTCAATTGTTTGCACGAGGCGGCGGCCGTCGATAACGATAATGATAACAATAAATAACAATTCGCATTAAATGTCGCTTTAAGGTGCGTTTAATTGCTTCTCTTCCCTGATTGTTCCTTCGCGAAAATGTGATGATTCCCCCCAGTAAATATTTACTTAGTCGATGATGATGATTATTTGATCTTGAGAAATGTATATACGCAAATCCAAATGATGATCAATCAATTATTGCTGAATTACATTCACGGAAACGCTTATCTTTATCTATTTAGGTGTAGCGTATAATAAAACTAAGTAATAGCACGTCGTAATTGCGCGTTCGTAAATTTAAAAGTCAATTATCATTAATCATTGGTATGCATTCGCAATGAAACCTTTAGAAATATGTCCATTTTTGTTGAAGAAATCTTGCTCATCTTCTATTTGGTTAACTTTACAGCGATTGTTTTTCTCTTTAGGTAATTGTCAATCATTCATAGTCATTTGTTTAAATTTACATTTTGCAATTGTTTTATTCTTACTGACTCGATTGAGTCAGTTTCAATCTCTGCGATCGTTTTTGTTCAGTTGACACAAGGCTACTTGCTATATTATTATTTCGATTATTCTTCTCTGGTCTCCTTCCAATCGATTGAATAGATTCTTTGGGGAGAAATTGCAATTAAAATCAATATTTCGATGATGCAAATGATGATCTCCTGATGCGCATCGAAATTAATTCATTAAAAATTTGTCGTATCTGCGATTTTTTGTTCTGTTTAATTTCCGTTGTAGAAACGCTGGTTGCCTATATTTTTCATTCGGAATATCTGACCTATCGACTGTTATTTGACATACTGTTGTGATCGATGTCCGTTTCGATTAATTTAAATATTAAATTTACTTTATTAATAGATCTTTGGATTACGCACGATCCGGGGAATGCCGTTATTTAGATTTACATTTTGCGATGTATCGAATATAGATAGATGTTAACGGATGTATTTCGCAGATCACGAACTCTGTGATCTTACGTTGCCATAGGTAACGGCCAAAAATAAATTTAGTTTGATTATCTTCTTTTTTTCCTCATGTATATAGACAGAAGTCTTCGATTGTTTGTTGTTGGCAAAATGTGGGATCGTGGCGTCGCGCCTCTCGTTTACGTAACCCAGGCAATGAAACGGAATCATCGTAACTGACCTACCTACCGGGAGGCAAAGAGCGGAAACCGAACTGAATCGAGAGACTAGAGCGGCGCGAAAAACGCGCAGCAGAACGTCGTGCGACGAGCGGAGAATTGTTATAATTTGTCCCATTTGAATGTTAATTGAAGTGTGAAAACACGCACGCTCGTTTCCGTTGAATTTCACTCTGATATCGAAGTGGGCCGGATTACTTATGCATTCCTAACGAATCGCGTTTATTTATTTATTTTTATCATTGTTTTTATCGTTTTTTGTTATTGATTTTACAGGTGTAAAAGGGTAGTAACGCAGCAGAAGGTGGCGGAGGAGGATGATCACTTTCTTTCTTACGTAATAGATGCGCGTGTCTTCGGGATTTCCGGAAGGTCAAGAGCGGGGCGCGAGTTGTGTGTAAACCGTGTCGCGAAACAATTAACGACGGACGAGGTCGATAAACGCCGAATTCTTGCGGTCGAAACTAGTTAAAATGGCAAATAGAAAACGGAAGATGGGAAGGACTTCGTCGAATCGGTGACATCGTGTCTCGACGGTTCCCCCCCGTGTCGCGTGATTTTTATGTTGCCCGCTTATGTAATTCGACAATTATCGTCGAGCGTATCATTGTTTATCTGCGCAAAACGGATATTAAACAGCGAACGCGCTCTACGTTTCACTAAGCACGTTTCTGTTTGAATATATATATAAAAATGAGAATCCTCATCAACATTATCTCCATAACAATAACAACAAAACTCTTTATTGATAGGTTTCTATAGTAACTCAAAGTGGGTGTGCGTTGAGTTGCACGAAGGAGCGTTTCCTCGAGGGAAGACCGGTTAAGCAAATTTCAATCAAGTTTTACGCCTTTTTTTTTATTTAAATGATATAAACGTTGTTTCTTCTTTAAATATGCGATCATCTTCATTTACGTTTTGACGTAAGCGGAATTAGATATCATGTTTCTGTAATATACAATTTACATATTCCGCCACTTTAACCATTTACATTTCTAATTTGTACAGTTACGAATCGTTTATTTGTTGCACCGGAAACAACTTATCGTTCACGTCCGTTTTTTTTACTTCATATTTTTTTTTTGCAAAAGATTTCAATCCTATCTGGAATTACCATAAAACTCGATTTCGATTTGTTATTGATTTTTCGTCGTTTCTAGTGGGTGGCCGTGGATTTCGATCAATTGTTTGTTTAAACAAGTTTCGAATTTTCAGTATCGAATGAATTTGATCGGAGATGTCAATGAAAGAATCGTTTAAAAAAAAAACTTGACCTTTCACATTGAAGTTTTCTGAATTTAATTGTTTAATTTAAAAAAAAAATATTTTGTATATATCAAAATAGTATATGGTAAAGTTAATTGTCTTTAAGCTTAAATGTCGTTAATGTTTATTTGAACTATGATAATTGAGCTAATAAGTTTGCATATGAGATAGAACTTACCAAACATTTTTGTTTCACTATGACCACCGTTGCCAATGGTTTCACGAACACCACTTTTGACTGTTATTGCTTGCGTGCGATTGAATGCGGTGGTTGTTGCTCTGACGAGAGAAGAGTGCCTTGCTTACTTGCCCCGTCTGATGTCGGGACGACTCTGGTTTCGGTCAGACTAATCGCCTCGACTATATATATATACACACACACATCTATATGTATACAATAACGGAATCCAGCAATTCTTCTCCCTGTATGTACTCCACACGCGCGTCACGTCGTCCTTTTTCTTTTGTTTTCCTCTTTCCTCTTCATTTGTTTCACTCCTCACCTACCTCGATGTTATTATTAATACCTTTCCGCTTGATTATTAACTTTTCTCCACTTCGCACGGTCGTGCCAATAATCCTAATAACAAAAACAAACAGACATCATCTCAATTTTTCCCGCCAAATTGTATTATTATAAACAATGATTCGTATGTTAATCGAGATTCGGCGGCATCGGAAAAAGAGACGACGACGACAAAGTGGTTACTGTGGTTTTTAATTGCTCGCTAAATCGAGACATCGATCTCTTGTTACCATTGTCTGTACCATTGTTATTGTTATTATTAGCTCGGTTTTCCCAGATTTAGCATGGCCACAAACGTCGGAACATATGATGCTGCAATCTACTCTTTATTTTCTTATGTGGTTCCCTTGTTTTTTTATCCATAAATCACGATTGTTTTTTTCGTTTTCCAGAAAAGCGAAAAATCTTTGACAACAATCCAACTGTGATTATCTCATAAGACCCTCAACTTTGTTGATTTTGAACACACACACACAATTTCGATTTTCGTCCTTCGACGAATCGTGCGTATCGCGTTTATCATAAAACGGAGGACATGTCGTCAAAAATTATGCAAAATGTGCTCGTAATTTATTAATATCTTGTATTTGGTTTAACTCATGAATCCGTGTTTGGAAAATTAAAAATTATCGCTGCACTCGCGCGCCTAACAGAATTTAAAATTTGGCTATTGTTTCGAAGCGGCTTCGCGGAAAACTTTGTTACCCAATTTGTTTCGATTAGTTTGAATCATTCATCGACGCATCCTGTTTGATCTTTACGCAAATCGTTTTCATGAAAATCGATGTTTTTTTTATTTCATTTAGTCATTCTCGAAAATTCTACTTCTTTATGTTTCCTTTTGGGTTTACTATCGTGTCTCTTCGGCTGGCAGCAGCAGCCTCTTGCGTCACTGGAAAGTTCATTTGATGAAAGGGGAAAGCACAATTAGTTTTATCCGAAGCAGAGTGGAAACTCTCGTCGTATTCCCCATCTTCTCATCCAGGATGTTTAGTTTTCTTGATCATTTTTCAATATTTACTTCTTTCAATTTTACATTTTTAAAAGTCCATTTATTTCTATTTATCTATATTGCAATAATAATATAAATATTTCGATAGATTCTTTGTATTCGCCAACAACGAAAAATACAACTCGAAGAATGCCCATATAAATAATTAGATAAACTTGTTGTTTTTCGCATTTCCATTTATCCAAGTGTTTGCTATTTCGAGATAAAATTGAAATGGACATAGCGCGAATGTTCGCAATGAGCGAAATTTCGATATTTGTTGTTTGGTGCAAGAAAAGAATTTCCGAAATTCCGAAACGCAATTCATAACAAGTTCTTGTAAAGTAATAATTCCATTTAAAAAAAAATGAACGAAACGCAAAGAAACATTTAACTGTTGTTACGGTAGTAAAACGTATTTTGCGTATAATGTGTTGTTGTTTTAATGTCCTCGGGTCACTGTCTTTTTGATACACACTTTTAATTCGCTTCAACAGCTTCTTTTGATTCGGTGACGCACCAACTTTGTAATTGTTACTTTCTCGTTTCAATTGTTTCGAATGCTCGTTGTTCCGATTTGTAGATGGGAGATTACAAGAAACAAAAGAATGAAAACAAATTGCGGGAAAACACGGATCGAGAAGCGTGCATCGTGTTGAGCAGTAATTAAAATCATTCATTAAAAAAAAAAAAAACAAAGCAAAAAGTATCATTTATTACGTTTATTGCTTACTCATTAATTGTGGCTCATTTGCGACATCAAAACTCGTCGTTGTAAATTACGAGAATTGTAGCTTGCGTTTTTATGATTATCTATTTGTACTTTTTGTTGTCGCGCTTTATTACTACTTTTATTGCTCGGAACTTGATAATTGAAAATGACTTGAAATTCCCGAGAGTTGAAAGGTAGTAAAAATTTGGAGATGTTTTTCGTCCGAATGTGTCGAATTATCGTGGATGAGTCAAGGTCTGGGAAAACACCGATAACATTATTTTTACGTGATATAAATAATTGCCATGTATTTACTCAAACGCATCACGAAGATCCGATCATCAACAACAATTTGTTTCTCAGGGAAATGTGTATATTATTTGCATACCCTTGCATATATCTACACGCAGTATCTATGTCTGCTTCTTCTGGATGTTATTTCCATAGCGAATGGATTTCCGTCATAAATGCATCATAACCATGGCAATAAACAAGTCTTTTAAGTCCATCAAAGAAACCGCGTCGCGTTACTATAGCGACAACAATAAACCTTGCCGACGCTCTAAAAATCGTTTAATTATCAAAGCTAATTAATGCACGCGAACATCTTCGAAAGCCTCGACACAGTTTTCGTGTCCCGCGAGGATCGTTTCAATTTTTTTTTTCCCGCTTCGGACGACCAAAAGAGGAACAGAAATAAAAAAACGGACTTTTGTTTGTACAAAAATAATAAACTTTCTTCTTTATTGTCGAATCGCAATTTGCGAAGTAAAAATTACACTCTGAACACACACACACGATCTCGGAAGAATAATTGCATAATAATAGAGTAGAAAAGAAGAGAGATAAAAAAAAACTAATTATAGTATAATAACATAAAAAAGTAAGTACAAAAGAAAAGATAATTATTGTATTGCCTTAGGGGAGTAATGTTTAAAATATTTATGTACATGTAAAATACGGTTTTCGTTATTTTTCTGCTGATTGTATTAGAATCAGTAATAATATATTCATGGAAATCGGGGCCAAATTTTTTAAATTATAATTTCGTTGCAAAAAACAAAAAAAAATGTCAGATTTCGGCTGCCGATTTCGATGGGCCTAAGTAATTTTTAGTGCGTAATACGGTTTTTATGTGTTGTTGCTAAGTAATCTGTTTTGTTTAATTGTTTCTTGGATTTTGATTGATTTTGTTTTTTTTTTGTTGTTGTTACAGGTTTTTGTTCTTCAGTCAAAGTTTAAAAGTAGAGCAGACTATTGGAGAGCGGGAATTGCGGTTCGGTTGCTTTCGGCACTCTGACTATCCTCAAATTGATCTCGTTGCCGTTGACGGTCCTCCTGAAGAACTTTTGGAAGCGCGTGGAGAGCGCCCACACGTTGCCGCCGTCCTTCTCGGCCCACCTGATTTCGGCGAGGAACTGAAGCTTCTGCGGATCGAACGCCAGCAATCTGAAACGAACAAGTCACATGTAAGTAGTGAATGGATGCGGTGACTATTGATTGATCACCTCTCTTGATTGGATTTTGGGTTCCAGGATGCGATGGAGGTCTGCTCGAGCGGACTGAAGTAGAGGGTGTCGCTGAAGGAGTCGACGGCCAGACCCAAACCCTGCGACGATTTCTTTCCGACGAGCGCTACCGGTAAATCTACGCCTTCAGCCAAGGGACCCTTCCTCAGAACGGAAGTGGAAACGCTGAAAATTCTGAAAGAAACAAAAATCAAAATACGAATTTATTGTTTTGTGTTCATAGCTAACCTGTCGGTGGCCAGAGGTTGGTAGTAGAGGAGGCCGCGATTGGGGGAGAATCCAAGTCCGACGATGCCGTCCATAAGCGTGAATCGCTCGTTGTCGATGGTGTAGTCGGAGAAGTTTGGGTCGGGGAACATCGATGGATGCATGAAACGCCAGATGTTGTCCTTGGACGAGTCGTAGACGACGACGCCTGCAAAACAAAAAAAGATAAGTCACAACTGTCAAAGTTGACAGATATGTCAGTTTATCGGACCTGGTGCTGCCGTGTCTGACATGTAGACGAGGGCGCTGTCGCATTTTCCGTTGACGCTCTCGTCAATCACCAAATTCGTCATCAGCGAGGCGGGACGAAGAACTTCCTTGGGAAACACCACAGTCCGAACAACTGTGTCAGTGCGCAGGTCGAAGATCACCAGTTTCGGATCGCAGACACGTTGGAAGTTGTCGATGGAGGTTTGCACTCCCGAATCCAACACCTGAAAACATCATTCATATTAAGTGAGTGTTTTCAATGTTATTAAATTTTAACACATTTTTCGAAATAACTAATACGGAAATGTTTAATCAATATGTTACCCAAAGCCTGTTGCACGAATCCTGTCTGATCCTGTAGACGGAGACCAATCCGGTGCAACTGGTGTTGTCGACACCCGCGGCGTGGAAAGACCAATCCGGGTATGCGTCCAATTTGGGGCTGGATCCTTTGGGCGTGTTCCTCGGGATGCTAGCCAATGTGGCGGGAATACCCGCCCTCAGTCGCGGCATGGCCAATATCAGACGATCATCAGTGATTTCGAGTCCCGTGAATACGGTGTTCTCTGGCCTAAAAAAAAAGAATCCAAATTGCGATAAAATCGATCGAGTGACAAATTTACAAATGTCTCACTTGAAATTTTTTATGAATTCATAATCTGGGAAATTAAAGTCCAACAGATTCCACTCGTTCAGGATCTCCAGATCGACCGCGTTCGACAATCCCACGCACAGCAGAATCCCAATTTTCAGCCACATCCTGAAAACAAACAAAAAAAAAACAGCAATGATTATCACATTCTTGTTGACTCTGCTTCATTAAAATGCTTATTAGCATAAAAGAATTAAATGTAAATTTGGTTGCATACACCACGTTCAATTAAAACGTAATTTATGTTAATTAATTATTGGAAAATACATGCCATTCACTTGATGAATCATTGAACGATTATACAAAAAACAAAACGTTAATTGATAATTATTCAAGATTATTGAATTATCGTATTGTCCCGGCGCATCCACCATAACTCTCTGAACGATATCTCTTCAGCCAGCAATGTTACTTTATAATTTTAACGAAATTTCCAATCTCTGATAATCGTATTCGTTTTGTTTTTGCTCGAATTGCTTGAATTTCCGAATTGCCGATGTTAATGCAATAAATAAACATTAATTGGTAATAATTCCACATTAAACGGAATTAAATTCGCTCGTAAAATGACTTTCACTGGAATTTATTAATATAATAACCAACTTAATCGTGCAAATATTCAGAGGCGATGCAGAGTTGGAGAGGAGTTGTTGCATCGCGGAATTTTTTTCTCGGGAAAACTCTGACATTTCCTCGTGGGCGATCGACGGGGCGTGTGTGTATGCGGTGCGGGCATCGCTCATGCACATTCATTTGATTAGCATTTCTTGTGTTTGCAATTAATTAATCCAATCCGATTTAGCGAAGGTAAACCGGATCAGACGCAGGCACCCCCTTACCGATGCAATCGGATTAACAAGACAATGAAAACAATATGCTACAATTTTAAAATAATCGTCGTTTTTGTCTCTTCTGCGAGAGAATTAATTTATCTATTAACACGGTTTAGTTTTGTCATCCTTCCTTTCGAAAAACCATGCAATTATTCTGTCGCATCGCGTAAATATGTCTAAACAACTTTTTATTTTGTTGTTGTTGTTCTCTTTTGCAATTCGATCAGTATGCTAATTGCATATGGGAGTTTCGCAACGATCCATGCAGGCCGAGCGAAGATAAAAACTCTCGTGGGAACGGAAAACGCATTTTCTTTGGTTTCATCCAATTGTTGGGTAACCGTTGGAGTGTCTTCAGTTGATACGATTGTATCCTTTTTAATTGGTAATCATCGATCACGAAGTACCTTGTGTGCATCTTGCAGGCATCAAGTCTTCAATTAACTCGACGTTTTTAAATATGCGAATTATTATTCGGTGTTGCGTAATAGTGCGAATGCGAGAATTTAATTGCTTATATTTATAGCACAGTCGACATCCGGTTTTGGTAAATATCACAAAAATTGTCGTCGATTAAATTCAAATCAATTCACCTGCATCAAATCACGATTTTCGCCATCAAACTATCTTTGTATGCGTCTCATTTAAATTTTCATTCAATATTATTATTATTATTAATTGAACCGAGCTGTCCGACAAATTCGTTAGCTGTACAATTAAACTACGAATAATACCGAAATGAATGGATATTGCTGTGACCATGGAACGGAGCGAAGGACCGACCTTCCTCTTAAATTCCTGCTGGGTTATTCACTTGTTTGAACCATTTAATCGCGGGTGGCGGCTACGTAAATGTTATAATGATCATTGTTGTTGGTGGTTATTTCGAAACGTTCCGAAAAATTCGACCGGTGAAAACTTACGTCACCTTGTCTCCGTTTTGATTAATTGCGCTCGCACCGCTCGACGCACGAGATGCCGACCGAAAGAGAAAGAAATATTTATGTGTGTGCTGCAGCAGCGGCAGCGACGTGTCGTTTCGTAATCCAGTTCAAGTTTACATCTGCGAGAAACAATTGATCGCAGCATGTCATTGCTACGTCACTTTTTTTTTGACGTATCCGTTTGGTGTTTGGTATACCTATCAAAACGTATCTGTCTGACAACTCTGAATGTATCTTTTTTTTTACAACGAAACTCTAATATAGTTTTATTTGATATACCTAACAAAACGTATCTGTCTGACAACTCTGAATGTATCTAACGAAACTCTAATATACAGGTTATTCAATTTTAATATTTTGGAATGAGTCAGAGCAGGATTTTTGCGATGACAGCTAATTACTTCGTTTGTTTTTCATTTCGTTATTTGTTTCTGTCTTAAGTGCAACGAGCACTTAATTTACTTTAATGGATTGGATTGTGCACTAAATCGAGTGAGTTATATCACACACACATATAAAACAGCATTCGCTTTTCGATACATTAAGAATCGAAAACACGTTTTTTTTTATGCATCGCGAAATGGGTCACGCGCTGAACTCTCTCGTAACAATTGACAGCTGTCAAATTAAAAAGATGCAACTTGACGTCTGTCAAAACATCCAGTATCTAAGTGGTCAATTTACGGTGTAGAAAAACTAATCTCGGGTAATGGATGTGTCGAAACTTTTGCGGTGTAATTGCGTGGAAAATCTGGCGTCTAAATTATAGATTTTTTCTCGAAAGAAAATCGGTGCCGGCAGTTCCGTTCTTGAATTGTTTCTCTTGTTGCACCTTCGGGTGCGATTTTCGTAATCGAAAACGACTGTGTGTGTTGTTTAACAGTGGTAATAGCCGACCGGATTTTTATCAAAGCGGAATGGCCTTGTCCGCAGCTCGGCTCACTTTCGCTATTATATTCTAATTTCAACTCGTCGGATAAAGATACAAGAGCTACAGCAGCGGTGGCTGTGGCTGTAACAACAACAACAACAACACAGCTTAAGACTCTTTTTCACGGAGGACTGGGTTTCCAGAGTCCCTTCTAAATTGCATAACCGGAACTTCTAAAAATCCGAAACAAAAGCGCAAACAATTGCCTTTTACTCCATACTTACTAGATTTGTCTCCATAGTTACTAACTTTATTTATATTTGTATTGTTTATAATAGAACAGAATCGGATCGCTCAAATTCCTGGAATTTTTGTACGTTTGACCCGTTGTTCCACGCAATTTAGTTTTAGAAATCTTCGTTTTTCCAAGTTTCTTCGTATGCGACCTGCATTATTTCGCTTCGGTCGGTATCACGTTCGTTTTTTTCATTTATTTATTTTTTTAAAACGAATTACGCATCCGGAAAGGTTTCTCGTTTTCAGTTCTCAAGATTACGCCGCAACGACTTTCATATTTCGTGCAGACCGACCCAAATTCCAATTATCCTTTTTTCCATTTCCGCCCGAGACACCCGCTTCTCAAACTCAATTAAAAAAATAAATAAAATTAATTGATTGATTAATCAATTAACGTATCCCATACGCGTCACTTGGAATGTATTTAGAAATAATTGGAATTCCTGTTCCAATTAAATTTTGTCCGAAGAGAACATTTCAGTTCTTACTCTGGCGTTTACTATAATTTGATTCAGATTCGAACAACAACTACTAGAACACGTTTTTTTTTCTTCTTTTTCTGCTAATGAATTCATTGATTTCCATCTAAATTAGCCGCTCGCGTCCCAAGACCGATTACAAAGTGATTTGCATATGTTTAATTCGATTTATTACATTTCTCTTATATTTACGTAATTATAATAATTCGCGTGATTGGAGCACGAAACTCGATAAATTTAAACATCGTAAACTTGACAAAAATTTTGTTTGTCATTCAAGATTGATACATTCATAAATTTGCATACGCTCCACTTAATCACATCGTCGGGTTCACACGTCACAGTAATCTGTCAATGTCAAAAAAGACGTCAAATTTACTTGACAAGTAAATACTTGTCACTCATTATGTACGCGGCTCAAGTAACGAATATCTATTAAACTGTTGATAGTTAAAGATTCAATCTATAAAACGCAGAAATGTAATTCACTCTCTACATTTACGTTTACATTAAAAACGAGATGAATTACAAATCGGATCTTAATTTATTAGTTGCATTATAACATCGTTTTGAAGTGAGTAATAGATATGTTTATGTCAAATGTACGCGAGAAAGTGATCCAGATTTCTGTTTAATAGATGTACGTTTTTTTTTTTTGAAGTTAATTGCTCAAAAACAGATTTGGAAAGAGAGAAAGATGGTGAGAAAGAGAGTGAGTGTGAGTGAATGTAGAGAAAGATATAAACGGTTTCGGTGGGTTGTGTTTTATGAGCTCACCCAGTTTCTTCGAGAGATCTTGCATAAGTTTTTATAAAATGTGTGTGTGAGTAGTCCGGTTATGCGAGAAACTAAAAGTGGATTAAAATTTATATTTACATAAATAAAATATGACACACACAACATTAGGAAGAAAGTTTAAATTGATTTATGTATATTTTAGTAATACGAATTTGAAATGTAAACTATTGTTTGCGTTGATTTGTAATCTAGAAACTGAAATAGAGGAAACACAAATACGCGAATTTCAATTGTAAGTTGCATTCCGCCAAACTCGCGACGTTTTCCGCGAATTCAATTAGCTTGAGTCGTCGCGTGCGTGCGTAAGTTAAAGCAGTTCACATTTCATTTCCACTCGGTGCAATTTCCTTCCTTATTTGCTGCATACACATAAAAAAAAACCATTGAAATCTCTTGCCTCGCATACACGATTTTAAGTGCCGTTTTTCTTTATGTATTATGTAAAGCGCTCTTCTTTTTTTCTGTTTCGTTTTTGTTCGTTCGAGATAGCTTGATGTAAATCTGGTTAATTTCTTGGCTAATTGATTGTTGCAATGCGTTTTGTTAATTGAACCGTCGTCTTCGTTAAATTGAGCGTAACTACACCTGCATGCGGTAGTGCATAGGAGAAGAAGAAGAGGCATGACGTAATCCGATCGCTTTGCTTTTGTTATTGTTTTCTTTTGAGCGCAGGTATCGCTATTTAACTGGCATTTCGCTTTTACTTTGAATATCATCATCATCATCGCGGAGAACTCACAAATCGGAAAATGTCAAAACGAGACATTAAAAGAAACGCGTAAAGAAAAGACCATGAAATTGATTGCCTTCTTCTCGTTTCGCAAATGTCCATTGTTTACGAATTTTCAAAGCCCACTGCATCGATCATCGTTCATTACGGATTGCGAAAAATGCCGCAAATTCTATTGTTTACTCTTCGGACAAATTACTAACTTACCTTCGGCCTTGCTGCTATATTCGAAACAAAATCCGTATTTTGTTTTTTGAAATTCAGTTTGCTTTTGCTGTTAAACTTGAGACAAAAATAGTCAATTTAAAACGTGTTTTTTTTAAGTATTAATGCAAATAATTGCGAAACAAGTAATAACAATAACAATTCGAAGATGATGTTTCTTAATTGTTATTCCGCAATAACTTTTAAATGCTGTAAAAAAAACAAATTGTTGTTTGGATTCGATGTAAAATATCGTAGAGTGCTGATCGAAAACATTTGCAAAACAAAGAGAAATCATCGCGTTTACACATCGCGTACGTGTCTGTTTTCTAAACATCATTTACTTTGCTAATTGTCACAATTGCGACCGTTTTTTGCAAGGTTTTTTTTTGTGTGTATTTTTCTTGCATCGCTAGGGATATTTGCGGCTTTCACCTCACTCAAGTTGGCAAACGTATAATCTGTCATTTTGTGAATGGTCCTTGGATTCCTTCCAAGGCCTCCTTCGCAGACGTCGTATCCTGTGCCTTACAAGTAATGACATCCTATTCATATACTTAAGTAATCTGCATTATCGTTAATACCATTACAGACTCTAAATGATTTGCCAAATTACCATTTCTTGCTCATACATACGTGCAATTTTCTGCCATAAACTATATTAGATAATTCGCATAGAAACCAATCATTATTACAGCAATAACAACAAAAAACTAAAACCCAATTTGTTTCGCTCGTCGCTAATTTATTACAGTTTTATTTCGCTCGTTAATGCATCTCTCCATCTTTCACTCGGTCCGTCCATCCGTCATCTATTTCTTCATGTTCGCCTGCGTATCTCTCGCATTCGGTAACTTTCTTTTGGGATTATTCAAAAGCGATGATCGTTAATTGGAAAACAGCGCGTCGTAATTGAAATTTCTTCGTTCATGATTAGAAATTTGTTTTTTTCGTTTCGTAGCAGTTACGTAATTTTCTTGTAAACTCTTCCATACGTTTTTCAAATGAAATATTTCAGTTCAAACGAATATCCAATTTGAGAGCAGAAGTTTCAGGTTAAAAATCAAATTTTGACGTTTCATTTTGACATTTCATATTGACGTTTCATATTGACATTTCATATTGAAGTTTCATGTGACATTTATTCTGAAGAAAATATTGATTACGTTTTTAAACAAAATGAAACAATTGAATCATTTTTTTTTCTATTGTTTCAATTTTTAATCGTCAACAAATCAATTAGTAATTATCAATGTAACTGAAGACAAATTTTATATGAATTTAATCTTATTTAATTGTTTTACCGAAAATTTCATCAACAGAAACAAAAGAATAAATTGTAAATTTCTATTAAGTGATCTCCTTTTAGTTTCACGATTGATTGGTGCTGAATTTACATAATATATGCATATTAATTCATTACAATATCAAGGCGGTCATTTTTTTGTCTATTAGAAGATAATTAGTTTCGTTTATTTGGCATTGAATTTTTTTTTTTGCCAAATTTTGTTTTGACAGCGTTTAGAAAGAACTAAAATCTAATTGATTTGAAACGAAACGGAAATTTTAATATGAAAAATTTTAAAAAATAATTGATTTGAAACGAAACGGAAATTTTAATATGAAAAATTTTAAAAAATAATTGCGAATTGAAATTGTTTCTTACATTTTTTGTTTGTTGTTGGCCCTTCGCTCCCTGATGTATGCGATTTGAAATCCAAATGTTTTGAAGCGCACTTCACAGTGTGGTGTCTCGTGTACAGAAAAGAAGTTGGACTTTGTGCGTGTCCTTCCTGTTCGGTTTCAAAGGAGTCGCGCGACTGAAAACCGCGGCCGGCGTTCAAGACTTTTTAGCCTTCCACGCGTTATAATACTCGTCGTACACACCCATACACACCTCCGGCAGGTATCCAAGAGTGTGTGTGTTTTCTGGTGGGGTTCTCTCCATCTCCTCCGCATCGACAATTGTTACATTTGCAAACATACACTAACTACAACATGCACGTCGTTACTACATTGACAAAACTTTCGCTCTCATTTGGGCGTCACCGGTGGTACACGGAGGTGCACTTGGACGACGACCGACCTCCGAAGACTCTCAAAAACCAGAATTTTGGACCTACTTTTACTTGCAGAGTAGAGCATAATCCGAAAACGGCGGACACGAAAAGACTCTCTTAAGACACGAACACGGGAAACACCTTCGAGGAGAGAGAATTACCTCACAAAAACAGGATGTTCGGAATTAAACGCCACGTTTTCCTCTGACTCAAAAAAGAATCTAAAATAAGTGTACACTAATTAGTAGGTTCAGCAGGATTTGACCTTCCCTTCGAAATAATAAGAAAAAAAAGTTACGAAATTTATGTTCAACAATCGCTATCAATCTTGGTTCTATTTCTAAAACACGTTCGATTAATTTATAAACTAACTAATAATAATAAAAAGTTACGATTTTACGACTTTTCTCATTAGTGAATATTTCGAAAATCACCCAATTTTTGAAGGGGAAAACTTTAAAAACTGATGCAACAATTTATGTTTCTGTTTTTGTAATATATTGTGACAGAAATACATTTTAAAAATGTTCATATTTTGATCTATTTATAGTAGAAATTTATAAATTGGAATAATCAAAAACGTCAATTGTTTCCTTCAAACTAAAACATTTGTTTTTAACCTGAAATGTAAAATATCTATAAGTGAAACGTCAAAATTTGTTTATAACCTGAAATGTCAAAATATTAAAAAATATCTATAAATGAAACGTCAAAATTTGTTTATAACCTGAAATGTCAAAATATTAAAAAATATCTATAAGTGAAACGTCAAAATTTGTTTATAACCTGAAATGTCAAAATAGTAAAAAATATCTATAAGTGAAACGTCAAAATTTGTTTATAATTTGAAATGTCAAAATAATGAAAAATATCTATAAGTGAAATGTCAAAACCTGAAATGTCATGTGAAACGAATTATAATTATCTGCATTTAAAATATGTTCAATATTGTTGATTTCTGTAGCATTTTCTTCCGATGAAACGAATGCTTTACCTTTTGACAGGTTGCGAAATGCCCGGGGGCGTCCTTGCAACGAAAGGAAAGTAACCTTAAATCGGTCAGAAAAAGAGTTTTTGAGGTTTTGAATTACCAATGATGATCAAATTATCGATTATTATGCAGATTATTGCATCTAACTAAAATTAAATATCTTCCCGGAAACGGACGGACGGACGGGTAACGCGATATGCGTTTGCAGACATTTGTCACGTATCCATCCATGGCTAGACGTGATATCGTATTCCGACAACTTTCATTTGCTCACTTGTTTTTTTGTCTCTCTACCACTCTAGAGCTTTAACTGTAACCGAAACCAAAAGGTAAAATAATCTTAATCATTTGATTACCTGGAAACCCTTCAACTTTGTTTTTTTTTCCTCATCGCGTCCAGCAAATTCGACAAGTTTTATTTCACCTTAATGAATTTCTTTTTACATTTCTCTCTCGAACGCACACACACACACATTCTCCACATTATGCACAAACTTGTTTATTTTTTTCTCTTTCATTAAACGTTTCGATCTTAATGAGCTCGTGCCAAACGCGAGATCATTACTTAACAGACCGGGCGCATTCACGGCAATCCTTTGCGCAACACGAATTTCACGTCATTTACATACGCACTTCTTATTTCTTTTCTTGTTTCTCTTTCATTCTGAGTTATTTTTATTTTGTTTTTTTTACGTAAATACTCTTCTCCTACGTTTCGTAACAATTGCGTGCGATTCCTTCCAGCGATGACAGCTGTCAATGTCATCATGATTCAGCCTCTTGAGCAACGGCTTTTGTTTCGGGCTCTTATAAAACGCTCTCACTTAATTAAACGTCGACGATTTAGATTTTACTTTATTTATTTGTTTCTTTTCCATTTCTTTCTTCTTCTGGTAACCTTCGGGGCCGCAAACGCGGAAATTCCTTCTCGGCAACGAAAAATCGCGGAGAATTACACGCGCACAGATGGAAGCAAAAAAAATAATTGAATACGAATTCTCGGTCGCGCCCACTACAATACAAAAAAAAGGCTTCGATTGTTCGGAAACAAATGCAACTTTGCTTTTGTTTCAGCTGAATTTCGTGTTGATCGAGCGATCCTAGTTTTTAATCGATTTTGAAAAAACAAAAAAAAAATACTTTGACAGGAAATTGTGCAAGTTATGTAAAGGTTTTTTGTTTTTGTTTTGTTTATCCTTGTTGTAACTGAAATTAATGTTTAATTTTTGTTTATTGAAGCAAATTTTGCAGCCATTGTTACCGGTCAATTACTGTGACAATTTACTCGTTCAATTGAAGGTTAGATCACACATTTACTAGAACAATGCAGCAGATAAGTACGAATTGTGACAGCTGTCAATGTGACAGTTTATATTATTTACCATGGAAACAAAGAGCTCGCTTTGGAAGACTTGATTTTACGAATGCGAACGGAGTAGACAATATTATTAATAATAAACTGAGGTGAGATTATTAATATTGTTTATAATATTTAATAGACGGATGTCGGGATAATTCCGAAACGATTTCGTTCCGATGGGCGCGTCGTTGCTAACTGCTAGCTAGCCTAGCTCTAGCCACTTTTCACTAATGCCTTGAACTTTACACATTTTCTGCTGCTGCTGCTGCTGCAACATGATCATATTTCTACTTACTTAAGACAAAGAGTGTTTATTTAATTACTTATTAATGTGCAACCGTTTCCTCATTTCGATGAGTTTCCTCAAACCAAGATTTTCAATTTGAATCAAAACTAGATAATGAAAATAAAAGACTGCGGAGATTCGTTGACCCCAAAAGAGAATTAATTACGCAAAGCAAGGATAAATTTGAATATTTTACGCACGTCAAGACAACGCAGACTTGAGTTAATTTAGATATTAGCATAGTTGTCACTAATTAAAACATCTGAATTTTATTATTTTTTTTGTTGAAAATAATATCACCATGGTTACAGTATACTTTATAATGAGATAATTGGTAAATTCGTTACGCTTGAATTGCAGCAAACACAATTCGTATTTATCGGAATTAGAATTTATGTTGGCATTAATATATAAAGAGAGAAAGAAAAAAAAAACAAGCAGTAGCAGTTACTTTGGTATTCGAAGTTGGTAACGTAACGAAGAATTAATAATTGTCGTTTGTAAAATTTATCGTTTTGTTTTGACTTGAGCTTTGGTTGTCCTTTCGATTTATCCGCGACTGTGATTTACGATCAACGTAACATGGGTGGAGTTGCCGAGAAAGAAGTATTGGAATGAGCAATAACAACAAGAACAAAAAAACCTGGACAAATTTGATCAAAAAACGACATTAATTATTTATTTATTTCTGTACACAATGTATGTAGAAAGTCTCGAGGCCGAATTGCAAATCATCGCATACTACAACGCACGCTACTGAGTGATCTATTTGTTACATGTTAAGTGACAAGTAGTGAGGAAGATAAAGAAATGCGTGCAATTAACGAAATTATATTTCTATTATTAGTGGTATTGGCGTAATCCGTTGCATATTTGCAATTGTTTATTTGCGAATGCGGGACGGACGACATTGTTTTGGAACATGAATGGAAATGTTTACGGTGCGGAACAGCAAACAAATCGAACGACTGTTTACAAACCGCTCGCTCGATGTTTATAAACACGCCACGGGCTCATCGCAACTCGTCGTCGTTTGTACAACAACAAACAACAATTGCAGCGTTTTCGCAAGCGAGAATAAAAAAAAAACCGTCGCCGCCAGTCAACTATGTCTCCATCTGCTGCACTCTACAGCTTCTATATTAAATTGAAAAAATCTTTAGTAATTGTCAGGATCGTTCAATTGTCAGGAGCTTTTTAAAGCGATAATTTTTCATTACTTCATCTTTAAACGGTAATTACAGCCAAGTACAACAATCAGAGAGTCGAATCCGGTTAACGGTTACGTTCCAAGTAAATGTTTATCGTTCCACATTCGGTTTCGGTTCGTCTTAAAAATTTCGGTTCAGTTTCGATTGAAATTAAATCAAATATCAAATTTTGGTTTATTTTTATTTACCAAATTCCCTTCTTACTGCTGTTATAATATTAAAAATACAAAAAAAAATAAACCTCAATTAGTGATTAGTTCAAGACATCCACTTAGTAATGTTTCTTCGGTCATCTTTACAGTAATATCCTTTTTTTAGTGACTTTCATTTGAGTTTGTTCTAATGTTAGTTGCGCAAGACTTGTGCTTGTCCTTTCTTCTTAAAATTTTCTCTTTTTAGTCGGTGGTTGATTGGTGGTGTTTGGGGCTTTATTTCTATTGATGATTAAGCGTTCCTACACAATTCGGACTTAATGGTTTTGTTGATTATGTATTTGTTTATTTGAAAAAAGAATTAAATGTATTCAAAGAGATTTCATTCTTCATGTCTCTTATACATTGTCTACCATCAAAGAGCATACTTGAAATTAATTAATTAATATTGTCGTGTCCCGGGATGGAATATCTCTGAAACACTGTGGAATACTTTGTAGTATTGTCGATGTTGAGTCCTAGTGGATTTTATGGAAGAGACTAGATTAAAGTCAGTGTACTTAATAGTATTTATTTAACACTTAGATGCTGGTGATTCTTAATCTAGCTTCTAGTTGCTACAAGCATAGGTTGTTGGTCAAAAGTAGAGTCAAACTAGAACTGTTACTAGGACTAGGTTCTTCCTTAAAATAACATAAGTGTCGTCTTATATGCAAGAAGACGTCTTGAATACAGAGGGAATTTGTTTATGTCTCTCGCTGTCAGTAAGGTGTAAAGAGTCATAAAGATTGGTTCAAGATTGTAGCACAAATGGGTTGTAAAACTAAGAAAATATGAGAAACAGAGCATTTCTCCAAAACGGTTTTATTACTCTAATAATGTGGTTGGCCACAACAATATAATGAAAAAAAAGTTAATTTAACCGAAATTAACCGGTTTTTTTTAAATTGAACAATTTTTCGTTCCGGTTACAGTTACGGTTCAGTTAAAAATTCCGGTTAATATCGGTTTTCATCTCTCCGACAGCAATGTTCAAGTTTCCATTCTATTCTATTATAGTTTCTGAGAAAATCACTCTAATGTAAAGACACTGCTGCATACATGAATAATATTCACCTACAATAATTAATTCTCAATCAACTTATTAGATTATATACAATTTACACTTGGAAGAAACATTATTGTTTTGTTGTTTTTGTTTTTTTTGACCTCAACACAGTTTAACACTTTAGAATTGCTAGTTTTCTATATGTGAGAATTTCCAATTGGAAGTCGTGATTCACGCGCATATTTATTAATAATTTACAATTTACAAACAAACGGTGTGAAGAATGCCATTTTCCGTTGCGCAAACGATCTTTAGGAATTGCGAATTTGCGCAAATCGCAGTTGCTATCTCCAATTCCGATTGGATGTGAAAAAACAAAAGTGTAATGACATTTCAAATGAATGACAATCAGAGCGTGCGTACGCATAACACAAGAAGTGTCGTTCGAAAATGCGTAACGTAACGTAACGTAAGTTGGGGAAGAGGTGAGGTTTCGTTTTTCCGTGTTAAATATCAGAGCGTGAAAATATCAGATCGGGGAAAAACGCAATTCAATTGTCACCGTTTCTTCGTGACACATGGAAATCGAATCGAATTGACAAACGCCGCCCGCGATCCTTTGCACAACACTTGACAATCTTATCCTCCTCTTCCACCTGCTGCTGCTGCTCCCATTCATTGTACCTAACCTACACTCTCTAAGCCGTTCTTCCGGACATATATATTTGCAATAATTATTCTCAAGAACCTGTTATTGTGCTTAATAATTGCCCACTGGCATTGCATTTCTTCGCGATTAGCGTTGATTTATTTACGGAATCTTGCGCTTTTCTCGTTCCATATTTGCTTGCGATTTGAACTAAATTTAACAATTCCATATTACAGAAATTCTATTCCCCTTTATTAATTAATTAAATTAATTGTAATTAATTAATCCATACATATTTATACATTAATTATGCACGAATCTAATAATTTATTGCTGCTCCCCTTTATTATTATTACTATCATTTTTTTGTTGTTGCATGAATATTTTTCCAATTATGCATTTCAAAATTGGCTTTGAACGTATATGGCGATCGCAAGGAGTGTAACGTTTTAATTATCAACTGCATTTTATTCACTTATTTGTAATTCAATTAGTTGTGATTGACTTTTTTGTGTGTATTAATTTATGTCATAACATTGACATATGCCATAAAATCAAACGATGTTGTTTTGTTTTTTTAATTTAAATGTCATATCTCTGACTTGGGGATATTCATTTTTTCTTAATTGGTACTCGGTGCCTTGTGTCAATTTTACCTTTTGTTAATTGTTGATGGTTTATTGATTTGATTGGTGTTGTTTCATTGAGTTGCGAATTTCATCTGCAAATTGTATATGTAAGTTGCTCTCTAATGATTGATTTAGTGCTAATGTTTCGATTCAGGTTCTCGCAGAAGTTGTATTAATTTTATAATAGTTAGTTTAATTTCTATTTGGACATGTCAGTTTTTATTTTCTTAATTTAAATCTGGGGATATTCATTTTTTCTTAATTGGTACTTAGTGCCTTGTGTTAATTTTACCTTTTGTTAATTGTTGATGGTTTATTGATTTGATTGGTGTTGTTTCATTGAGTTGCGAATTTCATCTGCAAATTGTATATGTAAGTTGCTCTCTATTGTTTGATTTTATGCTAATGTTTCGACTCAGGTTCTCGCAGAAGTTGTATTAATTTTATAATAGTTAGTTTAATTTCTATTTGGACATGTCAGTTTTTGTTTTCTTAATTTAATTCTGGGAATATTTATTTTTTCTTGATTGGTACTCGGTGCCTTGTGTCAATTTTGCCTTTTGTTAATTGTTGGTGGTTTATTAATTTCATTGGTGTTTTTTCAATTAATTACGAATTTCACGTGCAAATTGTATATGTAAGTTGCTCTGTAATGATTTATTTAATGCTAAAGTTTCGATTGAGGTTCTCGCAGTAGTTGTATTAAAAATTGTATTACTTTTGTGATAGTTTCTATTTGGGCATGTCAGTTTTTGTTTTCGCTAACCTACTTCGATATTTCGATTGGTGTTTTTTGTTCGCAGGTTGTCGCATTGGATTAATTATTGAGGCGAGTTATTGGGATTCAATTTATTGACTCAATCGACGATGTAAATGTAAGTGTTTTGCAAAGAAAAAAAAAATGTTGTTTTGAAAATTGTTTACAAAATTATTCATCACAGGTTTTGATCAGTGGATGGACGACCATGTTGGCGCCCAAGCATCCGGCGGTGTTGGCGATGTAATCGTGGAAGTTGGACTCGATGGCCCACATCAGTCTCTTGTATCCGGGGACGACCTGGGTGGGAAGACGGCATTCGTTTCCTTTCTGGACGATCACGAAGTTCTCCGGTTTGTAGCAGCTCTCGCTGTTCCAGATGTAAACGTCGGATTCACCCTTGTACCTGAAGAAGATGCCGGCGCCGTTGTCTGATCCCAGCATAACGGTCTTGACTCCCTCCTGCTTGGCTCCGACCTCGACGATGGCGCCGGCGGCTTGTCCGTTCTGCAGGTTGATGGACTTGATGGAGTACATCTTCGGGGAGGAAAGGTACGAGAAGTAGAGGGCGTTTCCGCAGCTCTTGCGGACGAGGGCCAAGTAGAGGACATCCTTTTGGGTGTTGGCGCAGGCCGGTGGCAGCACAACCCTGTATCCTTTGTTGTCGAAGACATCGTAGACGACGAGGGTGGCCGCTCCGGCGTCGGCGACGTACACGTAAGCCTTGCCGTCGGAAGCGTAATCAACGACCAGGTATTGAAGCCTGCTGTTGGCGGAGATCAGGGTGCTCAAGTCGATGACCTTGATGACCTGTCCGGTCTTCATGTTGATGCCGACGACCTTCGGTGGGCAACGTCTGACGGGTTGTTCCAAGGTGTTTACGATGCCGACGTCCAAAGCCCAGAGGATGTCCATTTGATCCAAGAAGATGTCGACGACGGATTGCAGGGCGTCGCAGTTGCCCTCCTCCTGCATGGGCCAGCACGGGAACGGGGTGAGACTGGCTTGGCATCCCTTTGTCCTCAGCGAGAATTTGGCTAGGGTGAACGGAACTCCGTGCTTGTACCTGGGCAGAGCGACGATCGCATCCTCCTTGTAGATCTGCATCCTCGTGGCGATCACGTTCTTGGGCACGTAACGGCCGGACGAGATGTAGATGCTCTTGGTGCTCTCGCATGGGAAGTTCATGTTGATCCCGTTGAGTTTGTAGCTCAGATCGGGGATGAGCCTGTCGCATTGAGCGGCGGCTACGGCCATCAAGGCAGCCAAGCAGAGGAATCGGAAAGCCATATCTAAGGAAAGAGCAACAGCAGCACCAGGTCAGTAAATCAGTATAATCACATGTATTCCATCTGTTGCGTGTTCGCAATCAACGTACCTGTCGTATCGAAGTTCACAGAACTTTGGATGCCTTCCGATCATCGCGATACGCTTTATATATTCAATCGTTATTTTGGTTTCGCCGTACCGTAAGCATGCATGCATTTTCATAACAAACAAACACACAATTTCATGGACGGCCATGAATTTCCTGACGACCGCTTTTTGTTTTTTCTGCTGACGAACCGTTGCAAAAGTGCTTCGAATGCAAGCGACCTTGACCATCGTCAAGTCTTCTATAATTAACATTCTTCGCACCGCATCCTATTTCGTTAATCAGATGATCTTTAAATTGAATATTACAATAAGAATGTTCATGCAATACAAGAATTTCGTGGTCTATGGTCATTTGGAATAGAAAACCTCCTAACTCATATATAATTACTACAACTACTATTATTTCTGTAAATTGAACAAGACCCGCGAGCAGAAGTATTATGTTATTAACTCGTGTTTCGTTTTTTTTTATTCATTTAATATTAGAAAGACATGCAGCAAGGACGCAAATAGTATTATTTACTTTATAATAATTAACGTCGATCTCTTTTTGCTTCTTATTTCATTAATACTTGTTCTATCTGTTATTAGTTTTATAATTGTTTGGATGCAGAATAACTGAACTGACAATTTCTGCATTCTTAAAACTAACATATTTGCGAAATCTATTTAAATAGATGCCGTAACAAGGATTAAGTAATGATTTATAAATATTTGGTCTGTACGACGTTTATAAATTGTGATTTCTGATTGGGCAAATTCATGCCGAACAATTGAACTTGACATGCATACTGTTTCTAATTACACGTCCAATAAGCATATCGCACTTATTATTAATAATAATAATATTGCTGAGAGTTATTTGATGTTGAGCGGAAACTGGCAATGAATTACGGAATAAATTTCAATAGGAAATCGCGAGAGGAAAAAGTAAAAGTGAAAAATGACTTGTTTACATGTCACTCGTCGCGAGAAAAAAAAACCACAATCGCGTTTCAGGTGTCTTGATTGTTTGTTTCTCTTTCTGTTTGTCACTTTGTTGCTTCATTTTACTTTTAGAAAAATGTTAATTACGAATTTGAATGTTGACTCGAATCATATTGATGATAATTAATGCAAAATTTCATTGCATTTCTGTTAGATAACGTCTCATTTTCGAAAGCTATTAATCATTATGTTTGATATTTACGATTATGTAAAATTATAATTAAATCAATTTTTGGTTTTGTTTAAAATATGTTTAATTTGACCCAGTTTTTAGAGCAAACGGCTATCGACCTATGTTTTTCTATCTGTATATTCAATAATATTCGTTGATTCTAGTCTTCATACAAAACGTTTACAATTGATGGTAGCGCTCTGAACTTTGATATAATATGAAGCCGCCAATATGCATTATTAATGAAGCTGAAATGTGATTTAACTTTGTCGCAGTTCTGAAATCGGGAACGGAAAGAAAGGTTATTTATTCATGCGAATTGTGATCGAGTTACGCGTCGAAACAAAACCCGTCGTCATTATGTAAGGCTGTATGTTTTTTGTTTTTTTTCACTTTTATAGTTGTTGCATGTTTTGCTAAGCAAATCTGTGTCAAATATTAAAGTTTGGCATACATTTTTTTTTTGCAACAATTATTATTTATTTATGTATTCGTTTTCTCCTGTTTTGTTCTCAGACTGTTATCTGTTTCAATTGTTGTGCGGAATCTGCGCTCTTTCAATTGTAATGCGAAAAAGAATCGTCTTTTTCGGAATTCGGGGCGCGGACTTGAGCGGTTTTTACCTCGAACGAACGAAGCCGCCTAGATCAGATACAGATAGATATGTGCAAGTTATTCAGCGCCGGTCGTCGTCGTTTGTACTTTCTAAAACGCGAAATCCACCTACGCAAGGAACTTGTCCGCATTTTACATGTCGAATGATGATCAATCCGGTATGCGTTTTGCATCGGTGGTGCGATGTTGGGAAAACTAAGGAAAACCGAAAACAAAACATAAAACAATGCGATTCTGCGATAGTTCCAAACATCGATGACTGGACGTAAATGCTTTGCACAATCGTTGCTGGAAACAAACACACCTTTGAATTTATTTGTTTTTTTTTTCTTTTCTTTTAATATTATTTATTCCGTTTGGCCAATTGATTTTTATGCTTTACTTTTCCTTTGCAGGTTTGCTTTTTTCTCAATTATTATTATTATGTGGTTTCTATATGTTATTTTTTTGGATTTGCGTAATTATCACGTTTAATTGGCTTGATTGATTTACAACCGACACTTGTTACATATATGTACACTTTCCTTACTTTTGCTTTAATCACATTAGTTTTTAATACATCTTAAAGAGTAATATATGATAACCAGTCAAAAAACAAGTTGCTACGCTATCTATAAATGGAGATTGTCGTTCGGTCCGAAACAACTTATTCTTATTATAAATATTTATAAGTAATTGGTGCGCTTAATAATAATAATGTGTCCGCATAACGTACGTTACAAAGTTGTAATATAAAATTGAAAGACTAAATTGCGAGTAAAGTATTGTTTATGTTTAGCTTTTGGTGTGAAATTGTGCTGCAACATCGGTTTGTTCTCTTCGCGAGCGGCGGTTCACACTTTGTTTGTTGATTTTCGTTGTTAAACAAAGTGTTTTAAAACACGTACGACCTTTGCGGCTGAATGCAAAACAAATTCTTTCAATATATAAACGCGTCGGTCGATTGATTTCAGCACACACACTCACAACATCCGTTCCTCTTCAGCGGTGCTGCAAAACGGTTCGATCCAGGAAGGAAGCAAGCAAAACGAAAAAGATGCTGAGCAAAGTGTTCATCGTGTCGGCCGCTCTTCTGGCCCTCGCTTCGGCCTCCTGCGACCGGGAGCTGATGAAGCCTGTCGAATGGTCTGGAGGTAGCTTCGAGTGGCCGTGCGAAGCCACCAAGAAGATCTACGTTTCATCCGGAAAGTACATCAGCAAGAACATCATCGCGACCAGAGGACAGATCTACAAGGACGACGTCATCTTGGCTCTGCCCAGGTACAAGCCCGGAGTGCCGGCCACCCTCGCCAAAGTCTCGCTGAAGCAGAAGGGTTGTGAGGCTGTCCTGCAACCGTTCCCGTGCTGGACCTCGCAAGAGGAAGGCAACTGCCAGGGACTTCAATCCGTCGTCGATCTCTACTTGGACGCCCAAGAAATCCTCTGGGTTTTGGATGTCGGCGTGACGAACACCTTGGAAGCACCGGTCCGTCGTTGCCCTCCGAAGGTTCTCGCCATTTCCATGAAGACCGGTAAACTGCTCAAGACTCTGGACTTGTCCGGATTGGTTGCTCAAGCCTCCAGGTTGCAATACGTTTGCGTTGAATACTCCGCCGACGGTCGTCCGTTCGCCTACATCAGCGACGCCGCCACCCGTTCCATCCTCGTCTTCGACATTGCCGGCAACAAGGGATACAGGGTCATCCTCCCCAAGGCCATCGTCGCCGGAATGAACAGACGCGACGTTCTGTACATTGCCCTCACCCGCAAGGGATGCGGTAACAACTTCCTCGTCTTCACCTACCTCTCATCCGGCCGCATGTTCCAAATCAGAACCGACTACCTCCGTTCCGGATCGACCGCCGGTCGCGTCCAAGATTTGGGCCCGAAGCCAAGCAAATTGGTCGTCCTGGGAACCGATCTGGGATCTGCCGTGTTCTTCCGTTTCGAGGGTAAACCTGAGATCTATCGTTGGGACACCAACACCGCCTTCCAGAAGGAGAACTTCCAGGTGGTCTACAAGTCGCCCAACTGCCTTCTGGCCACCCAAGCCATGCCCGACCTCAGGAGGCAACGCATCCGCGTCCTCGAGTCCAACTTCCCCGATTTCATTCAGAACACCGTCGGCTGTGGCGCGGTTCAACAAATCAACCTCATGTCCGGCAGTTGCAACTAACTCTTCTGGTTTATTTTTTTCTTTTGAAGTTGATGATGAAGAGGAAGAAGAACGAATAAAGGCATTTCATTTCATGTGATAATACAATTACAAACTGATCGTTTACTATAAACTTACTTAAAACACAATCCTCCGTCCTACCTGCACACCTCTATTCTTTTCTAATAACCAATGAAATCAATGTTTATAAAATATTTTGCCAATTTTTAAAAGTCACTAGAAATTGAACACTCTGTATCATTTCAGATGCATAGGCAAACGGATGTACGCGTGAAGCAATTACGCGTCTATTCTGAAGAAGATGGCGATGGCTGTTGCATCGTTCGAGATGCGACTCACAGATGGCGAACGCTGATGTCGTCGTCGTCGTCGCAATTTGGAATTGGGTACGCGCACGTATACTTGTGCGTGCGTGTGTGTGAGTGCGCGCGTCTGGCGTGGTGTGGCGTAATTCCGCAACGCACAGTCGTCATGAGAGTTTCGTCGTGTGTCACCGAGTGGCCAACAATGGCGGACGTTTAAAGAGCCCCCTGCGATTATTGTGTGCGTTATTTTTGTTTGTTCGCCGCCAACCCCGATCATCACAAAACATCCGGCAGTGATTCGTTACCGTTGCGGACGTCTCGTAAAAAAAGAGCGTTTCCGAACTTGTTGGCGAGGGTGAGTTCTTTCCTCCTTCCCCCCCAACACTGTATTTGTTTTTTCCTCCACGCCCGAGGAGAGTGATGTTGCCAGTGTTTGGGCGCCAGTTGTTGTTATTATTATTATGTGCGCGATGGTGACCAAATCCAGTTCAGACGGAGAGATGAAGACGGAAGTAGGAGGACAGATCGTTGCCGCGGCCGATCAGCAGCAGCAGAACTTCGAGGCTGCTCCCGGCTCGAGGCTCAGACGTACGTTCACGTTACCCAGGAACCCGCTGACGAGGATCTCCAAGAGGAAGTTCAAAAAGTCCGAGCCGGAGATGATCGACGTCGAACAACAACAACAGCAGCAGCAACCAAACAACCAGAATCAGCAGCAGCAGCATGCAGAGGTCGGGCAGAAGAAGGTGTTCCGAAGACCGTCGTTCAGGAAGATCATCAATCGGATCGCTCAGCACATCTCCGTGCCGAACGTGATGAATGGGGTGAGCGATGCTCGGGTGCCGCCCGTCGGAGGTCTGCAGACTTGGGCCCCGGACGACACTCCAGGCGTCACCGGCCTCCGCAATCACGGGAACACGTGCTTCATCAATGCGGTGCTGCAGTGCATCTCGCACACGGACGTCCTCGCCGAGTACTTCGTGCTGGACAAGTACAAGATCGACCTGTCCCGTCGCAACAAGCTCAACTCCAAGAAACATGGAACGAAGGGCGAAGTCACCGAGCAGCTGGCCGTCCTTCTGAAGGCCCTCTGGGCGTGCCAGTACAGTCCGGATCTGAGCACCGGCTTCAAGCTGGTCGTGGAGAGGTACGGAGCGCAGTACAAGGGCACCCAGCAGCACGACGCCTTGGAGTTCCTCATTTGGCTCCTCGACAAGGTCCACGAGGATCTCAACATGGCCCCAAAGAAGAAATACAAATCCATTAAGGTCAGCACTCTATGTAGTCTCTTTTCGTTTTCGTTTCTTGCATGCTCCATCTCCTCTTTTGTTTTCGTTTCTTTTCACTGCTTCTTCTGGAGCGGAAATGCCGCGCATTCTGTTTGTGACCTACAAGACAAATAAACACCTAAAATACACTCGAAGCAAAGTAGAAACGAATTACGCTCATTATTCATTTCTTTCAATCACTGGCACACAAACAGTACTGATTATTTCTATTGATTTTCAATATACAACCATTTATTCTTCCCCTATGCACGACCGCACAGACAGCTGCTCACGTTTCTTTCCTTAACAACACTCACATTTTCTTCATTTCATCAAGACGCTTCTAAACAAAATTGATTTTGCCATCTTTAGTAACTTAAGATTCTTAAATGACTTTACCTGAGTGTTATCATATTATATTGCCATTAGGAAACGACAAGTTCTATTGATTATATAAATGATATCGATTTCGAGAAGATATAATCATTATAAAATCGTTAATGCTATAATAACTGTTCTCTCCACGGGCGTTATCAAATAAATTATAACATGCAGTTCGATAATATTGTCGAAGCACGATCCCAGTAAGCCACGTGAAACTCGCGTTTCTATATTTTTTTTTTATTGCTCCTCCGATTCAATGTAATGACTGTCAAGGCGGACTACGTAATAACTGGCGTTTCTATAATTAGATCGTGTATTATATTTAGACGTTCTTATCACTTTTTTTTCTTCTCCTTCTTCCTGTTTCCTCTTGGCAATGGGACATGGACACACACACACACACACTCATTACTCTTCTTTTTTTGTTGATTTCGTTTTGTTCCTGTGCGTCTGCCGTAAGAGTGTGTACCTAAATATAGCAGAAGTCCTTGAAATGTTGCATCTATTTTCGACAACCTCAATCTCTCTCTTCCTCTCCCTCATTTGACACTTATTTTCGTGAGTCACGGTCTGCACAAATTGCAATTAGCGCGTTTGGAAGAGAGTAAAAGAAAACTCTATCCCGGATAGGTCAGGAACAAACGTGGTCCGTGATTTGCAAAGCCGCAACGACAATACTTGTTTTATTATCGCGGATTAGATTACGTGTACAATATGATGACTATTATGGGCAGATGCGGACACTTTCTCTTTTTTTCTTTGTATATGTCGTTGATTTATTGGGGATGGTGGAGTGTGTTGTATAAATAGTTAACCATTTTATTTCGGGAAAGAGCTGTCAAAAAAGTGTTATAGGGGTCGTCCTCATCCTACTGTGCATCTTCTATTTTCGAGCAACCGGGCCCTTCAAACTCCTCCACGTGCCTCTCTCCATTCTAATCGTAATCGTCATCCTCCTCCTTCTCATCTACAGCCACAACAACAACGACTGCACGTTGTGCGCCACGCGGAATAAAGTGTGACAGCTGTCATCGCAATTAAACGGAACGACAAGAACACACAAACACTCGACGTGGCATCTCCTCTCCTACTATTATACCCATTTATTCTTCCTTTTTCAAAGAGATTCTGTCGAATGTGTCTCAATGGGTGATTTTCCATTCATGAGCGGCGCCTGTCGTAAACTATTATGTCATCGTTAACAGCTACACTCTTGATCACAACTATATTTACAATCGGTTTTCTTTCGGTTAACGTTAACATCTTTGCTCTTTTGGAGAAGATCAGTTATATGGATTGGAGAGGAAAGGTCGTAGATTAACTTCCACAATGGCGGCGTTCACAAGTCTCTTTATTCCGATCACGGTACACCGAGAGAGAGCGAGATACAGGTTACAAGAGAGAGTTACAGGCTGGAGTAGGGCGTACCGTACCGGGTTGGTACGTGACATCATATCCGGGCTGAAGTCAGCGCCACACTCTTAATATTATTTTTTTTTTATTAATAACGATGAGCAGCACGAAATGTGTTTGTGCAGACCTTGAGATATGTAAGCACATACATAAAGATAGAAGTACGTACCACGTTCGTTCATTCTATTTCGAAATGGATCGATCGGGTTTATGTAAAAGGTAAGAGGTCAAGTAACTCCTCGTCGTCTCCATCGGCGCGGATTTTCCGCTCGATATCCATCCGAAATTGTGTGTTTTAAATTCGCGGTCGCAACAACAATCGTCTTCCTCTGAATCATCCGTGGGTGTAAAAATGTCAATGTTGTAAACTAATTAACGCGCTTAACCTTGCAAGCAGAACGTTGCGAGTAGCGGCACGACCTTGTCGAATCGGCAAAAATAATACCAATTACTAAACAAGTACGAATTTTTTAATTGAATCGTATCAGTGAATAGTTTCAATGATCTTTTTTTTTGTTTGTTTCCTTCCTTCTTAATTGGTCATAGGCGGCAAACGAGGTCTTTCCATCTGCAATACTCTAAAACTTTCGTTTACTAACTAAAACGTTATTAATTTTAATGTATGATTCGAGCATTTATTGAATCAATACACCAATTGTGACGTACCTTTCTTGTTAGTCTGCAAACACACAGAGGGAGAAAGAGAGAAAAACGTCGTTTATAATGAAAGGAATCATGCCACGTTTATTTATAGCTTTAACAGTGAATTATAATTAAAAGTAAAACGCTCTTACCACTAAGTTTGTACGAAAACGAATGTTGTTTGTGTATACGTTTTTCGCGAAAAGAGTGCTCTGCAATAAATAAATGGCAGATGAAACATTTAAAAAAAAAGCAACAAATACGAGCAGATATAAAACTGTCACGCAACGTGTACACACACATACACGCGCAAATACGTTTTACTAGTGACCACGTGTAAATATTTGCACGCAAATTGCGCAACGCCGTTTTTGCTCTCTCGCATCCATCTCCTCGTTAAAAAAAAAATCGGTTTACTCTAAATTGCAAACGATTTCGTTCCACTACTGTCAGGATCTCATGAAATGTTCTTTTGTTTCAATGTCGATCGAAACGTCATTTTGACGTTGATGACTGTTGACATTGTTTTTTTTAAATTGTCATGTTTTTTTAAATGGAAATATTCGCTGGTCGGAGGAGCGGTGACCTCGACGCGCTTTTCGTAATTGTTTATTTGTTCCTTTATTATATATTTTTTTTCCATTGTGAGAATCGCGTGACACGACACGACGCATCATTCGATGTCGAATCTGGAACGTCAATTATATGTAAATCGAATCGAATTTTTCTACTTGGACATTAATTGCGAGCATTTCGCCAATTGGTAATTTGTAAAACACTACTTCCTTTATAGTTGTCATCGTTGACATGTATGAAAAGTAGTTGTTTTAAATTAAAATGTCAATTTTGACGTATTTGCTGTGGAGCTTCTAATGTCAATTACAGATGGCGTTGCTTCGAACTGCGTATTTGTAGTTACGAAACGGGTTTGGAATGCACGAAGCGAATGGAGCAGATTATTACCGCAGAGTTCACGGAATGTGAATTATCAATGCTTCGTTTCGCCTCTTATCTAATCAATATTTAATTGGGAGTTCACTCCCCGTCCTTCTTCGTCCTCCCAAGGTTTTCAATTTGATCCACGTAATTCTCGCATTGTTTTCGTTTTGCTTTCTTCGATTCACATTCCTCCTAAGCTTCCTTAAAAAAAAATCCCTAAAACTTATCGTATCGTTTATTTACTTATTTATGTTTGTATTTACAGCACAAATAAAGCGGCGATTAGATTGGGTTACGAAACGAAATTCAATCCGATGATGATGATGATGGATGCATCATCATCGGTGGCGGCCCCTATCAACGATTGTTTCTTTTTGTTGTTTATCCTTTCATGGCCTTCCCTTCCCTTCGGCTCGCGTTTCATTGCCAACCCGTTTATCTCCGAACCGTGCACGACACCGCAACGCGCAGCGCACACCAGATCTGTTAATTACTATGTAATGATTGCGCAACATCGTAGCCGATTTCACGCCGTTTATTACGGTTTTTCGTTTATTAACGAAAATCGCGTGTCTGTTTTGTATTTTTTTCTTCTTTCTGTAAAGTATCGCGCCGTGGAAATAATTTCACTACGATTATCGTATTGACGTCAGTCATTTGTTAATAAGATTTATGGGAAAATTTGTTACGACTTATTGTTTCATTCATAGCTTAATTGTTTCTCTCTCTCATTATTAAATAATTGGTTGACTGCACGAGATGAAGACTTGCTTTCTTTGTATACTATCGGCTTTCTGTGTAAATATGTTCAAAGTCTACATATTACTGATGAATCATTACTATTTGATCAAGTTTACTCATATAGTTGTTCTTTTTTGTTTTTAATTTGATTCATTTATCGCGTTGCTAGGTAATTCGGATTGAAACAATCGCGAAACGCGACTATCAGTCTTTTGCTTGTGGGATGGAAGAATTATTTCCCATTCGTTTTTTTAATCGATAAGATTATAATCGAGGAATGCACTAAGCTATGAGTCATCGATATCTATCACTATATAGTTATAGTTTGATTTCAGCAAAACTACGAGTTGTATTATTATTATTTATATGGTTTTTTTTTAGTTCGAAGTAGAAAGTTGGAGAGTCTCGCAACGAAACGGTCATAATTTAATTATTATCTCGTTAGAAAACAGAATTGCAGCATATTTCGATTCTGTTGCTTTTTTTTTGTTGTTGTCGATAAGAAGAAAGTTTTCCGTTGGAATGTTTGTTTCTAATTTTCTTTGTTGTTGCTATTGTGAAAAGTTTGAATTTTCGACGGGAATCAAAAGGTCATTACGACAAAAGAAGTACGTTTATCAATTGTTTTCCGTTGGAAGCGCGCAGGAATTTTTCGTGGCGATGATGTAAACGCACATACACACATATAAAGAGAGAGTCTGATGAAACAACCTAGATTCCGTTGAAATTTTTCAAATAAGCCGGCCGTGAACGCTAAACAACCAAAAAAAAAATGTTCATGTCTTAATTATTACTTAATTCGCTTTGCTCCAACAAAAATTCCTATCTACTAATTATTGCCACAATTTGAAACTCATCTGTCATCTGTCGTGATGGATCAATAGTTATGACATGTGTCAAATGTCAAACGTGTCAAACTTTGCGGCATTCGCAAAGGTTATTGCATAAATTAATGAGAGCGGTTTCTCCTTGCGGCGATTTTTATTTCTTTCTTTTCTTGTCTTTCTTATTATTATTATATAATAATTGGCACGCGATTCGCGAAATCCACCCACCACCGATGGAGAAAAAAAAACGCGCTTAGCACAGAAACAAACGAACGCTGTTGTGCAGATGTTGTCAGCTGCCGCCGACTTCGACCTCGGAAATTTATCATCGACTCGGACTCGACATTGACACACTATTTTGCGAAACAATTCGATTTGAAACGTAACATTGATTAATATTATTATTATTATTATTCTACCTGCATGTAGAATGCATGTTACTACTGTACAGAGTGAAATGTAAACGTTTCAATGAAAGTTTTTATTGGCGATGGAAAATCACGCAAAAATAAATGAATCATGCGGAGTTTTCCCCTCATCCGCAATCGATTTACACGCACCCTCCGCCCCCCAATCTCCTCATCGGACCTCTCCCTTCGTCCTTTTGTTAAGGAGGCCACGATTTTCTTCTCTTGTTTTATTGTCGCTTTGTCCGATGATGATGATGATTAATTCAAATCTGCGCGAGAAGAAAGTTGCAGCGATGCTGCTGCATTGCATGATTGTGTCGTGCAGCGTGCATGCATTCATTCAGATGCGATACAGCAATTTTCCAATCAATTCTGGCCATGTAAGAGCACCTCTCCTTTCCCCGCCAGCCTCTCCACCTCTAGTATGTATATATGCATGCATGCATGTGCATGCAGCAGACATTTGTAAATAGCGGCTGAAAAACGCGAGCCCCAAGGAAATCTAATTATATCCAATTACGCGTAATTAGATTTTCCGATGAAACGGACGGAGAAATTCATTTAATTTTCGCAATTTGCATTCATCAACTTTCTTCTGCCATCGGCTTTCTTGATCCTCACTCACCTCATCGACCGACTGGAACTGAGATCTCATTCTTTCAATGAATTAAACGCTTAAAATATTGGTCTTTTTATTAATGGAGTTTATTTGTTTTTTGCAGACTTTGGGCAGGCCGGACGAGGTGATAGCTGCGGAGACGCTGGAGAACTACCGACGACGGGACAACTCGTTCATCCACAGCGTCTTCCAGGCGCAGTACAGATCTTCCCTGAGCTGTCCTACGTGCCTGACCCAGTCGAATACGTTCGACCCTTTCCAGTGCATTTCCGTGCAGCTACCCCAACTGCATCGACACTCCGTCTACGTTACGGTCAGTAATACGGCAAACATCATCAGCAGCAGCAGTATTGTAAATGTTTCGTTCTTTCTACTTGCAGGTGCTTTACACGTCGCAGCAGCCGCGCGAAGTCCGGCTAGGTCTGTCGCTTCCATCCGGCGCGAACGTGTCCGAGCTGCGCGACCTTCTCGAATCGGACACCTCGATATCGAGGTGCGATATGCTTCTCACCGAGATCGGTACCGGTGGATTCCTTCGCACCTTCACCGATCAGCAACCGGTGAACGTTATCACCGACGCGGACCCCGTCTATTGCATCGAGGTGCCCCAACTGAAGGATGCCGCAGACGACGATGACGAGAACGAGAACCAGAGCGCCGCGTACGTTCTGCTCTGTTGGATCAATGTGCTCGTCGAGAACACCACCGCAAATACAACCATCACCAACGACGACGATTGCATACGATTTGGTAAGTTGTTGTCAACGTCCACTATTGTTCATCAACTTAATTCATTTGCATTTAATAGGCAGTCCGTACACGATGCAGGTGAACAGGGAAACGTCATACGTGGATCTGCAGAAGCTGATGCTGAAAGAGATGGCGCCCATCCTGCACGACGATATTTTGACTTCGGCGCAAGCCCAGGACGTAAGTTAATTACTGTTGAGAATCGTTCGATTTAAAAATACGAACTTTGATTATCACAGATATTTAGAATACGAATTTCGGACCCGGCCTGCAATGCAAACGAACCGGCTTCTTATCTGGAGCCGGACCTGGAGCACCCGCTGTTCATGGAGGCCGTCGATCAGGCTTTGGCGCTCTGCGGCGAGGAGAGCGGTCCGACGCACGTAAAGCTCGTTCTCGAGTGGACGCCTATCGCCAAGGAGGCCGTCATCGCTGACGACACAGAAGACGTCGAGGAGCATTCCAGCGTTAAGCAGCTAAAAACACAAGCTCTGCAAGGTAACATTGAATGTTAGACTACAAGACAACATGATTTTAAATTTGCTTCTTTAAGGTGGAGCTCCTTTAACACTGGAAGAGTGCTTGAGGCATTACACGAAAGCCGAAACCCTCGACGACGCTTGGCGGTGTCCGCAATGTCAGCAATACCAACCAGTGATTAAGACGTTGGATATGTGGTCGCTCCCAGATATCCTGGTAGTTCACTTCAAACGCTTCAGACAGTTAGTATATTAGTTTTTATCGCATCAATCGTTGTAATTATTAATAAATTAATGTTTCAGGCAAACGCTGAAAGGTAGGAACAGCACCAAACTGCTGACGATGGTGGAGTTTCCCGTGTGTTCGTTCGACATGACCCCGCACCTTGCTAAAACCACAACCACCACCACCAACAACGGTGGCAACATCAACGGATCTGATCAGAATCATCATCATAATCACCACAATAACCACCAGCACAACAATCATCACCATCAGGAGCAGATCTTGAATGGGGTGAATTGGTCGCCGTGGAAGAGGACGCGAAAGCAGTCCACCACCAACGACAACACGTACGATCTGTACGCGGTCGTTTACCATCATGGAAACGATCTGGAGACCGGGCATTACACTGCAGCCTGCAGGAATCCGTACGACAGTAACTGGTACCTCTACGACGACGCGAAGGTTGTCAACCTGACCGAGCAGAGCAACGACATCGCCTTGGATCTGGTGAACAATAGTGCCTACATCCTTTTCTATCAGAAACGTAACGGCGTCTACGTTAATTCGAGCTCAAATTCGAGCAGCGCAGCCAGCACCAGCTCTGTGGGTTCGGCAGGCGACCACTGGGTCTCGCGAATGCCCAAGTTCGTGCCGCCCAAGGGCAAAGATAAGAAGGCCGGGAAGATTATCGAGACTGCTGCTGTTACCACCACCACCACCCCCATCACTACTACAACAACAACCACAGCGACGACACCCGAAACGAAAGTGGAGATCCACGATGCGATCGTTACCAACAGCACAGCCGTCGAGCCTACGACCACGACGCTGGACGAGGTGACGTTACGCAATTCGCAGAATACGTTGTACAATAGTAACAATTCCATCAGAAAGTCAGAACCAACGTCGCAGCCGACGGAGGAAACGAAGAAGTACACGACCAGCATTTACATCAACGCTTCCGGTAACGTGGACATTACAACCAGCGAAGTTGCTGTAGTCTCGACGGCCGTCCAGAGTCCGGTGCTGAGCCCGCACAGGGTTAACGGCATCTCCGACGATGATATACAAGTTAAGCTAGACGAGAGCAGCGAGGAGAGCAGGAAAACGCGCAGTCTACATGTAGAAAGACAATGCGAGAAACCGATAACGGATGAACGTTTGAGCTGGGTCAATTGAGATGAGAAGAAGAAGAAGAAGTGTTCGGCTGAAGAAACCGAACAATATTAATTTATATATACATATACGATGAAGAATAATTAATATAAATAATATATTTTTTATGTGCATGTAAATAGTAGAATTTATATCGATTATATAAATATGATTATGATGTAATTTTGCACCGAAAAGAAAGCAACGCGATGGGGCGCTATTTGGGTTGCCTAGAAGAAGAAACGACGATGCGAAGGGGAAACATTTAATTTATTAATTAATTAACTAATTGAGGAGTGAGAGTGAAAGGAGAAACGAACTTTATATATGTAAATGCATGCATGCAGCATAGATATATATATGTTATATACACACACTGATGGATACATGCGAAATGTTATTTTTAACTATTTTTATTTTTAAAATTATTATCTATTTCTCTGTTGTGTTTACTTATTTATTTGTACTTTTTAAAGGCCCAAAGCCTACTTGACTAACTCGACGTTAGTCAATAAAACAAATCACTATTATTATGTATATTTATTTCGTTTTTTTCTTCTTCTTTGTTTGTCATTTGTTTTCTTCTTGCATACATGTATGTATATATACATTTTTGTTCACTTTTTGTTGTGCGTTATAGATTTATCCGGGAACAACGAACGCAAACGCCGCCGCATCCCTTGTTTGAACTGCTTCCTCGGATTAATCCACTAGTCATACTTAGTTCGGGGCAAAGAAAGAAAACATGTTTTTTCGCTAATTTTACTCGTATTCTCGCGTCGGGGTGTAATAGCATTTCACAGTCCAAACAAATATATATATATATATAAAAAAATAAATGTAATTACATGTACGTGCCTTATGAAAGAGAAAACTGTTGTTGTAGTAGCGAAGGGAAGAGAAGGAAAGAAAGAAAATAAGATATGATAAATATTATGAATATATTCCTTTATTAATTTCACATAAATAAACATATTTCAAAAACAAACAACAAAAGTAAAAAATGAGAATTGTCTGCATTAATTAATGATATAATTGCACATTCATGTTGTAATATAATACTAATTCAAATTTTATAGAGAATTAAAATGAAACTATCTGTTCTGATTTGGCGTTTCGATGACAGAGGGCGCTACTGAGATAGATCCGTGCACCGTTGCCAAGGGTTACCGAAGATAATAAAGCGTGAGTGAGTGAGAGAGAGAGAGATCGACGCAAAGAATGCGCCGCCCCTCCAAAGCCGCCTCCGCACATGTCTGCCCGCCCGCCCGTCCGCCTGGGGTCAAGCACGTGGTGAAAAATGTAATCTACTAGCAGCTAGATGCATCCATCGCCTACTTACACGTTCTATCTCTATTATGGATTGGGAGAATAGGAAAAGTGTTAGATGACGTCACGTGAATGTGGTGCCGTACGGACGAACGAAAGGACGGACGGACGGACAGAGGGACGGAAAAACGCGCGCGCGACTTCAGATTCTTTCCATCGGCAACGGTCGTACCGATCGCACGCAAAGATCGACGACACGAAAATAACCGCAAAATAAGCACACTCGTTGATCGAACAGAACAACAAAACAAAATGGAAATTTCAAATCTGAGGTAACAACAACGAACGAACGAACGTACACACTCACCGATCCACACTCAGACAAATTAACATTCATTCTCTTCTCTGCTGTTGCTGTTGTTGTTATTGTCGTCATCAAGCATTTTTTTGTGTGACTCTAATACTTGAATCTCAAAGTCAAAATAGATAATTAACATTTAATCTTGCTTGGAACATCTCCGATGGCCTGAGACTGATAAACTACACCACCAACAACAAAAAAAAATAAAAACAACTACTGCATCAGGTTAAAGTTCAGCTGACCCCACCGTTCTGTGGCCCAAAATTTCCCCCTTATCACTTTGTCTCTTGCGTTTGCAAATGACTACCATCTCTAACATTGCCAAACTTATCACTCGCTTCAAGCATTTCAAAGCAACCACAACCAAAATGTAAGTAGAGTTATTACATTCGATTCGTAGTGCGTTATTACATTATTTTCGTTCCACATTATAAGTAGATTCTCCACACGTACATATTACACAGCATGACTCTCACTATTACTTCATTGATACTCGCTTGCATTATGTAGCAATTAAGTGTTTCCACAATGAAATAATTATCACTGGTTGACCTTCAAATGCTTTTTGTTGTATTCGAAACTTGCTTTTGTTGGTGGGTGCTCGATTAGTTTCAGTCCTTTGACCCAATTGAAATAAATTGGCGTCTTTTCACGTATCATTATTATTATAAATGCGTTTTAAATTGGGTTTTGTGTGTGTCGTTGCGCAGGGAAGGTTTGCTGCTGGGCGTTGGAAACCCGCTTCTGGACATCTCTGCCAAAGTCAATTTGGAGTTCCTCAGCAAGTATGACATGAAGAAGAACGATGCGATCCTCGCCGAGGATAAGCACAAACCCATATACAAGGAGCTGATGGACAAGTATCAGGTGGAGTTCACAGCAGGTGGGAGCGTGCAGAACACGCTGCGCGTTTCACAATGGATCCTGGAGAAACCCAAAGTGACGACATTCTTCGGGGCGGTCGGAGAGGACGAGTACGCGAAAATCCTGCAGGAGCGGGCGATCGCGGAAGGAGTGAACGTGCAATATCAGCATGCACAGGACTCGTCGACTGGTACATGTGCCGTCCTCATCACCGGCACCGACCGCTCTCTCTGCGCTAACCTCGCCGCAGCCAATCTCTTCACACCCGACCACCTCGCCAAAAGCGAGAACAAGAAGCTCATCGAATCCGCCCAATACTTTTACATCTCGGTAAGCAAACAACGACAACATCCTATATAAATCTAATCTAATCTAACAGCAACTCACTCTTTTTACTTTTTAGGGTTTCTTCCTGACAGTGAGTCCTCCATCTATCCAGGAGATCGCCAAACACGCTTTGGCCCACAACAAGACTTTCATCATGAACTTAAGCGCTCCATTCTTGTCCACCTTCTACAAGAAACCACTCATGGAAGCGATGCCCTACGTGGACATCCTCTTCGGCAACGAAAGCGTAAGTCGTCTCTGCAAATAAGCAAAATCAATCATGAATTAATGAATTAATTTTTAGGAAGCTGAAACATTCGCCTCGGAGCAGAACTTCCAAACCAAGGACCTGAAGGAGATCGCGCAGAAGATCTGCGATCTGCCCAAGCAGAACGAGAACAAGAAGCGTATTGTGATCATAACGACCGGCACGAATCCGGTGATCCTCGCCGACAACGGCAAAATAACCGAATATCCGATCATCAAGTTGGAGCACGAGAAGGTCGTCGATACGAACGGCGCCGGAGATGCGTTCGTCGGCGGTTTCTTGGCCCAGTACATTCAGCAGCAGCCGCTCGAAGTGTGCATCAAGTGCGGCGTCTGGACGGCCAGTCAGATCATCCAGCGCTCAGGATGCACGTTCGAAGGCAAAGCCACCTTCAAACCGTGATCTCTCGAATAAGAGCAATACTAAACAATACACACACACACTAAACAAAAAGGGGACACAACAACGAGATTAATTCGCATTTAAAGACACACACACACACCTATACCAAAAAAAAAAAGAAAGAGTAATAATCGAAACCATTTTTCAAGTCCATTTTGTACTTAAGATTGAATCAAATACTCGCCGTTCGCTAGCAATAATATACGACGATAAGGAGAAGATTGATCCGTTTAGTTTTTCTTTTGTATTTGTTTGCAAGGAATGTGAAATAAAAAGAAATTGATATTTTCGAAAGTTCTACGACTATGCAACCCCTTCTGCACGCTTCCTATCAAAATGATTTTCAATTTCTTAATGTTTGGTAACAGTGTGCGCGCACGAGCCAATCAAATGTTTGTTTGTATTGATAGTTACCTGGGATACGAAAGTTCAGCAGAGTAAACGAGCTGAAAAGTTGTTCTTGGAGAGGATGTCGGATGGATCGTTTTTGGTATCAGTGGATGGTCAGATCGAGTGGCTCGAAGTCCTCGCGCCGGCCGGGAGCAGATGGCACTGCAAGTACGAATTCGTATCAGGTCCGGATTGGCAGTTAATCGGCGGTCTCGAGGCGGGCCTCTCGCAAACGGCGAACGTAATCCAGAACGGGGATAAAGTCACCCTCAATCTGCCCATACAGATCGTCTACAAATCCACCAATCCGCATGGATGTGAGTAGGTTCTTCTTTTTGTATGCGAGATTACACTAATATCCATGCGAATGCTGTTTGCAGGGCCTCAAATCGTGCTGAGCGTGTACAGTGGGTTGCAGCTGGAGGGTTACGGACGCGCGCATCTTCCGCTGCAGCCTGGGATGCACTCCCTGGAGGTGCCTTTGAGCAGGCCGCAGCCGTCGTCGTTTCTCGGATATTTGGGATCTTTGTTCGGGTACAGGCCGGAGCTGCTGCAGCCCAAGATGCTCGCCACAACAGCCGGCAATAACTGTGAGCATATTCACCACCTCGCAAATCGTATAATTTCATAATTTTCTTTCAGTGATCCGCATGGTCTCCAGCGGCGACGCCAAGTTATCGTTGAACATCATCAATCAGAACCTGCAGAACCTCGGCTACGACGTGGGAAGTTCTTAAACGGCCAGGTAACCCCCATCCACGGCGAGCGTACTCCCAGTGATCATAGTGGAGCGATCGCTGAGCAAGTAGAGGACGGCATCAGTCACCTCCTCAACTTCTCCGAAACTGCAACAACCACATCATCATTTACTATTTGAAATTCAATGGATATAGTTATAGAATTACCGTCCCAACGGGATCTTCTCCAACATGGGTTTCGCCTTAGCCGGATCGGACCATCCCAGCTTTCCCATCTCGGTCATAATCACCGTTGGATTAACGCAGTTCACCCGGATCCCGAACTTGCCCAATTCCAGAGCTGCCGCCCTGGTGAAGGCGTCCACGGCGCCCTTCGTCGCGCAGTACACCGTGTGATCTTGAAGTCCTGCCATCGATGCCTGCGAGGATACATTTACGATGCTGCCAGCAGCTCCCCTGGAGATCAGATCTTTGGCAACGTGCTGGGTTACGTTCATCAAAGCCTTTACATTAACTCCAAATAAACTGAAAATTATAGGCAACCAAATATACATTATTATTATTAATTTAAATATTAGTACACACAGAAATCATGTGTATCAATATACATTTTAAACTAGTAAATGAAAATAAATAACTTACGAATCAATTTGTTGTTCGGTGACATCCAACAGTGGTGCAAGTATAGCCAAACCAGCATTGTTTACCAGCAGATCCACAGAGCCTATCTGACTCAAAACGTTTTTAGTTGCATCCCAATTGCTTAGATCGACTGCAAACACAGTGATCTTTGGGTCTTCCGAATGTAACACATCTGCAAACGCAAAAGCTCTTCGTTATTTCTCACTGAATATTTTTTGTTTTTTTGTTCCCAATGGCAACATTACCAAGGAGCTGTTGATTCCTGGCTATTGCTGTGACTTTTGCTCCGTACTGGGACAACTTCAAGGCAATGTCTCTGCCAATACCTGCCAGAACAAGATTAAGATTTGCACATATATTTCTAATAATAATTACCTTGACTGGCGCCTGTAACCAGAGCCTTTCTTCCGTGGAAGGTGATATTCATTTTGCCCTCACTATATGACAGTGCTGACATCTATCTGACCTTTAAACTTTCTCAAGATAAGCTGCAATAACAGATGAACAAAACAAAAACCAATTGAACATATTCTTGTTACGCAGCATGCTGCGACGTATTTTATACCAAATTGAATGTAATTTCACAAGGATTAAACGTATGACTGATTGAATTCAAATATTGTATCCAGTTTAAAATGGTCTGCAGTTTGTTAAATTTCTGAAATACAAAACATTATCTTTCATTCGCTCGACGGTAATAGTTTTTTTTTGTAAAGCTCTTTCTTTATCATAGTCTGCAGTTTGTCGTTAATTCGGCTGCACTGCACTGATGAGCCCCAATTTAGGACGAAACTATGAACAATCAAATCTACATTTGAAGAAGCAAAAATTCTTCAAATTCCACACATTCCAGAAACGTCAAAAAGCAAAAATTCCAAACATTCCACACATTCCAGAAACGTCAAAAAGCAAAAATTCCAAACATTCCACACATTCCAGAAACGTCAAAAAGCAA